ACGATGTTATAGACCACAACAACAGCAAAACTCCATATAAAAGTGACCATGAGTCTCTTCCATACCTTTGGCACAACACTCATGATCTTCTTGAAGGTGATTGGCTTGGCGGTGTATACGCAAGCTATAGTGTAAACGACTGCAGATGTAGAAAGAAGGGACAGGATTAGAAGGAAAGTGAAGTAGGCAATTTTGAAGAGCCAAAAGGCAGTCCACTCAGAGGAGATGATATCAGAGATTTTAGCATATTTTGGTGTGCCAACTTGGGTGTCATCTAATGTATCTTGATTGTCCAGGATTTCGAAGAAAATTAGCTGGGAAATTTGCATCTGAGCTAGGAAGATAAAGGATAGAGGAAGGATAAGAGCAAGTGTTATTTGGCTGAAGATTTTTCTCCATGTCAAGATGATCTTGAAGGATTCTTTGAAGATGCCGAAGAACCCAAGAAACTGAAGCTCTTCTTGTTCTCTGTCCATGACTTTCTTTTCTTGTTTTTTCCTTCTTCACAAAGAAATGAGTGATGGAGGAATTGAGTTGTTGCCGTGTAAGGAAGATGGTATGATAGAGCAGTTGACTTTCATTTTACAATTTGCCCTTCTTCTTCTTTGTAAAGCATTATAAGATGGATAAATTTTTGGAGGGTAAAGAAGGAATTTGAGACTCAATTATACTATTGGATGGAATAGCCATCGATGAATACACAAGTTATTTTGTGTTAGCCGGTCTCCATCCCATGAAAATTGTGGGCACCAAAAAGCTAGCAATTTTAGATGAAAAATGAATTGGCTGTTATATATCATGTTTTCGTAAGCTTAAACGTATCTTTAAGCTTCAGCTTGATCTTAAAACAAAATATATATTTTGTTATTTATTCATTGATGGATTAGATGATTGTAATGCACTTAAAGCAATTTATCATTAGTATATATAATCATTTAAACCTTTTCCTCTTCATACAAAATATTTTTTGTATAATATAAATATTTTGAGTTCGTTTTTTAGAATCAACTCAATTTAATTTGATACTAATTTAATTTAATGAATTGTGAATTTAATTTCAATTAATATAAATATTAATTAAAAAATAAGTCACAATTGAATGAAAAATCAGAGGAGGAAGATTCCAAACCAATCCAGGGAGTTTTGAAGTCCAAGTCTTCTTGGGGATTGGACCTGAGTCAACGCCTTTAATTACGATCCCTCAGAGCGAAAATCAAGAGAACAGTGGAGTTGGCTGAAGTAGGAAGGAGAAAGATGGTAATATTTATTCAACCTTTGGATTTCAAGTTTAATTGCTTTCTTGAGAGGATGATATATATAATCTTATTCTTTGAAGAATTTTGAAATTTAGTTTGGATATAAATGTGATGGAATTATTTTAAATGTGTCTCAATATATAAAAAAAAAAATTAATGTTTTAAATCGAGGAATAATATATTTCTCGTAGTTAAGCCGGAGGAAATTTCCTCTTATCCATAAGTATTATCATATTTATTATGTTATTGTGTGTTAACAACATTAATTATATTTTTCAAATGAATATTTTCTCGTCGTTGATAAATCTTTTTTTTTCTTTTATTAGTTTTTTTAAAAGTGTTCTTATTTTCCTGAAACAAAGTATATAATCAACGTTATTGCACTTTTTTTTTTTTTTTGAAACAAAAGTATATGCTGTATAATATGAGTAAAGTATAAATTAGTCTCTTTTGTTTAGAAAAAAATTAATTAATCTCTTTATTTTAAAAATTAATTATTTAATTCATTACATTTTAATTTCGTCAATAATTTAGTCTTTTATCATTTTTTTAAATTAGAGATTTTTTTCTAATTATTTTTTTTAATATTTTATTTTTCTTCTTTACCCATTCTGTTTCTCTCTTCTCAACCAAACATCAAAAGATAAGTAAGAAGAAAAATAAAATATCAAAACAAGGATAATTTGAGAATAAAATTACTATTTCAACTAAAAGCTGATAAAAAAAAATCATTGATGAAATTAAACTTAAAAGACTAGATAATTAGTTTTTTTTTTTAATAAGGAGACTACTTAATTTGTTTTTTAAAAGAGAGAGAGAGAGAGAGTAATTTATAATTTACTCGACAAAATATTTTATGAAAAATTAATCGTTGTATTTAACTTTCGAGCTTGGATTCGATTGAGAAACAAACCTTTTTGCAATTGCAAGAAAGGAGTTTAGAACAATTCTAAGAATTAAAAAAGAAAAAAAAAGGAAGGAAATTTAAGGCGTCGTTTGATTATCGTGGATGAAAGGTCCGAAATAAGAATGCAAGAATCGAATAAAAATTAAGGAATTGAAATGGCATTTATATTCCCATATTGTGTTTGAAATATGTTTGGAATATTAATGAGGAATTAGAATACAATTTAATTTTTTTAATATCTAATTTTTTATACAAATAAAATTAATGATTAAATTTTTTTTTATCAAACCATAATGGTTGTAAAAATAATAAAAGTAATGGTGGTGGTTATGGCAACAATGGTTCTAATGATAGCGGCTATGGCGAGTGGTGGTGATAGTGATTGCGGTGGTGATGATAGTGGTGGTTGCGGTGGTGGTTGTAAAAATAGTTAATAGACAATAAATAAATAAAATATATTATTATTTTGAAAAAAAAAATTTATTTTCATTTCTTATTTTTATTCTCACATTTTATATGAAAATAAAGTTATGTGTAAATTTTCATTCACATTCTCACTCTTCATTCCTTTAATCCAACGACTATAATATGAGAATAAAATTTTCATTTTTATAATTTTATTCCCGATTACTCGAACAACACTTAAAGGTTTAGAGTTCGTGCATCCCATACCTAATGTGAGTTGGATTCATCTGGATTATGGACTTACCTTTTGCACCTCTCCCATTTGGGCAGATATTGCAATTTTCTCTTCTTAAACCTAGGAAGGGAATCAGCTTGTGATTTATAACCTAGTCTTTCCATTTTGTCTAGAGTTTGAAAATTTTCTACTATTTAGTTTGGGTTAAATGTATCAAACTTCCCCTGAAATTTAATTCTTCTAAAAATTAATTTTAGATTTGACTTCTCCATAACCTTTTTTTCAAAAAAAGAAATTTAGCTCATTATATGATTTTCAACAATCTCCTATCTAAAAAATTCAATTATTCATATTTTAAATTAGCATTTATATACACACATTGGAAGAAATTCAATTCATTTTTTTTAAAAAAAATTTCGAAGTTGTTAAGGTCGAAAAGTATATATTTTTTATTTTTTAAACATTAAATATGTAGAAAATTGAAAAAAATAGAAAATAATACAGAATGTTTTAATTTTTTTTTCCGAAAAGCCACATACAAATCTTATAGAATGATTCATCATGAGGCTATATAGGACTATTATTTTTGAAAAAAAAAAACTAAAAGATGGACTAAATCTCAAAAAAAAAAAAAAAAAAAGAGAGATCAAACTTGAAATTAAAAGTTCAAATTAATTTTCAAATAAACTAAAGTTCAGAAAAAAATTGACTTATTTAACCTTTCGTTTGTGTATTGGCAAACATTTTTGTATCATTTTTTATGTTAATGATTTTTTGTCTTATAAAAAAGAAAAGAGTTGGAAATTTCTTACCCAACCAATGAAAGTTTATATCAAGGGACTGAGGGGTCGAGCTAAATTGTGAGAAATTAGTGAGCATTTTTAAAGATTTGTTCTAATTCCTTTTTTTTTCTTTTTTCTTTTTAATAAAAATTTATCCATGCTAAGTTAAAATTATTTGAAAGATAGGTATTAATTCAAAATAACTATATTTTTAATATTTGCTTAAGTCAATATTGACTACTAAAATCTTAACCATTCAGTAATTAGTTCTTTTTTTTTTCTTTTTTTTTTTTTTACGTAAAAAAAATGACATATCTCTTGTTCCTTTGAAAGTAACCCAATCCAATTTATTTAAAACTTCTCAATTAAAGTATAAAGTTTTGTAATTTGGACTCCTACAATTCTTTATCAAAATGTAGTACCATGAAAATAAGCAACAATTTCCATCTTAATAGCAAAAGGGAAGCAATTGCTCTCTCTTAGCTAGGTTGATAAATGGGCTGATGACATTTTTTTAGATCCTCAAGGTCTTTTAAATCTAAAGATTCAGATTAACTTTTTACCATTTGGTCAAACGTAGAAAATAAATATATCTATTCAATTTTTTTTTTACATATATAAAAATTTAAACTTGAAATTATTTTTTTAAATGATTAGAACTTTTTTTATTCAAGTCAACCTACTTGCACGGAGAGACACTTTGGTTATGCATAAATGGCTTACCTGCCGGCCAATCCTAATTTGCCAGGAATAAGAAAAGAAAAAAAAACTTATAAGAGAATAATGGTCCATTTGCCATGTGTTCAAATAGAAAAAAAAAAAAAAAAGTGTCAATTAAATAATGTGTCATTGTAGCCTTATTATTTTTCATTAAAGTCCTTTCTAAATAGAATTATTAAATCATGTTACATAATCTGTAATATTTTTCTTTTAAATTACAGGACAATCAAACATTTAAAATTAATATGCATTAAAAACATAAAATATATTACATGCATTTGTATGGCTAGATGTTTTTACTGTTTGTTTATTTTTATTTAATTATATGATTTTTTTTTAAAATATTATTTCAATTAATAGACAACACTGCAAATCTTTAATCAGGTTTTAATACCTTAATTTGATCTAGATAGGTGTAATACAAAATAAACTTAAATTAATAAGATTCAATTCAAAGCATAAATTTTTGTTATGTATAAATTTAATTAAAATTTGGGAATTGAAGGATTAAAATATGAATTATAATTATTGATATATAAATATAAGGAGGATGGAAATGATCATCAAACAACTAGAAAAATTAACATTGGACCATCTTGCAATACGGCTATTTGACTAGTAGCTAGTCTATATATATAAGACCTCCTAATGCAGAAATTTTTAAAGGAAAATAGAAATTAAGATCTAATTAAGATTTAGACTTCAAGTTGCTCCATTTGGACATCCTTGGACTTGAGACGAACATATTCTCCAAGATAATCCTCCAGATGATCCGCTAAGGAGGACTTGTCGATATTCTCATGGTGATAGGACTTGCAGACGAAGTAAAGAACTGTTTGGACGACAAGGACAAAGAGCATCACCTTACACAGCATTAAGTAGCAAACTATTCCCATTCCAATTCTGACTCCCAATGGACACTTCAAAACCACAAAAAACTCATATAGGAATTGAATTCCCACGAAACAAACTCCAACCACAACAAAAACAGCAGCTGCAACTCTCATATTGCCCTTCATTAAGTTTTTGCTCTTGATCATGGCTTTAATCCCATAAAAATCTTCTAAAACAGAAACCACACTAGCCAGATGCCATACCATGGTGATATACAACATCCCCACAGAATATATGATAATAAGAACGACAAGAATCGCAATTTTAAAGCCAAGTGCAGGTACATGGTAAACAGCTTGAGTCCAAAGGGTTATAAATAACACAGCAGCAATGATGTTATAGACCACAACAACAGCATAACTCCATAAAAAAGTGACCACGAGTCTCTTCCAAACCTTTGGCACCACACTCATGACCTTCTTGAAGGTGATTGGCTTGGCAGTGTATATGCAAGCTATGGTGTAAACAACTGCAGATGTGGAAAGAAGGGACAAGATTAGAAGGAAAGTGAAGTAGGCAATTTTGAAGAGCCAAAAGGCAGTCCATTCCGAGGAGATGATGTCAGACAGTTTGTCATATTTAGGTGTGCCAACTTGGGTCATTTCTAAGGTATCCTGATGGACAAGGATCTTGAAGAAAATTAGCTGGGAGATTTGCATATGAGCTAGGAAGATAAAGGAGAGTGGAAGGATGAGAACTAGAGTTATTTGGCTGAAGATTTTTCTCCAAGTCAAGATGATCTTGAAGGATTCTTTGAAGATGCCAAAGAACCCAAGAAACTGGAGCTCTCCCTGTTCTCTATCCATGATTTTCTTCTCTGCTTTTTTTCCCCCTTCTTCACAAAGAAGCGAGTGATGGAGGGACTGGTATTTGGCATCTTAATAAGAGTGTAACTTGACAGATTGCCCTTGGTCTTCTTATGAATTACTTAAAAAAACAATAAAGTTGATAACTTTTTGGAGGGTAATGAAGGAATTATGAGATACATTTTATTGGATGCGATGACTTGACTACAATTGGTATACGTGTTTTCATGCTCCGCCTGTCCCGAAAACATGAAAATTTCGGCACACAATCCGGTCGCAATTACTTAAGTAAATCATGCCAAGGAAGTGTGTCCTCGGCGATTATAGTTCGAACGTCATTGGTAGAAAAATAAAATTCTCATGATTTTTTAATAATTTTAATATAAATAATTTGTTTAATTGATCTGAAAATTAGAATTTAATCTCGACATATAAACTTCAGTAATATCTTATTTTTGAAAGGACAGTTCATATTATAATAAAAAAACTTATTTTGTGTTTGAAATTCTAATCTTCTCATTAGTTGTTTCTTTGGAATTTTGTATCCATATAAATATTATAAATTTTAGCTTCAATATAGACGCAATATCCTTCTATATACCCATTTATTGTTTAGCTTTGTGGACCAAATTAATAATGCTTGAGCGTTATCTTCAAGCTAAAAGCAAGTTTATAATTGGAAATAACGCGTTGATTTATTGATGAATAAGGGATGAAGAAATTAATGTGGAAATAGTATGATATCATTCGTCATTCTCAAGAATTTTAATGCAAGTTTTGTTCATAGGGGTATAATTAGAAAAAAAGAAAGAATCCAAACAACACTGTGTGGTCAATCAGCAAAGTAAGTAATACTCTATTAATAGTAATAATAATTAATGATGGGGGTGAATTTCTAATTCATAACTCGAAAGTGGAAACATTTTCTGCAATCTTGGTTTGCGATGTCGGGACCTAGAATAGCTAGTTATTCTTTCCAGGTATTGTCATACTAATAGTATAATAAATGAAGTTTCCAAGCAAGCCACCGAGCTTGACTTCCAAGCTTAATGTGGGCTGGATTGGTTGTGTAGTGTTTTCATCTTGAATTACTTTTGGGCCTCTTCCGTATATCTGCGCACATGGGATAATTTTTTATTTTTTTTAACAGAAAACCAAAAAACGAATGAAAATTTTAATTTTTTAATCGAAAAATTGAATCTCAATTTGATTTGATTTTAATTTTTCTTTTAGTCAAATTGAATAACTAAAAATCTAAAAACAAAAAATCCAAAATCAAACAAAAAAACTGAATAATCACCCTCTTCTTATCTCGATAGTTTGTTATTTTTTACATTCCTTACAATGGAAGATTTGATTTTATTGTATAAAAATAAATTATGAAAATTAAAATACTATATATATGGTATTATATATAATTTGAAATTCTTTATAGATTAATTTAAAAAAAAAATCAAAAGAGGGCCAGAGAAGGTCAGGCCCGAACACTTGGGCCCAGAAACCTTGAGCGAGCGAGCTTGGTTTGGCGCACACAACCCAGCACAAATTTTCATTTTTAATTAAATAAAAGAAGATCAACAAACGACGCCGTTTTGATAAAAAACCAATGAATCTTTTAGTAACAACGGCGCCGAGAACTGTTCATTATGCACCATGCTGACCGCGGACCCCAACCTTATTGTATATTTGTATTAGATTCCGAGTAAATTATAATTAGTCTCATTAATTTGTGGAAACAAATTAATTAGTTTTTTTCCTTTCAAATACTAATTATTTTTTCTTTATTCATTAGTGTCTGTGCTTAATTTTACATTACTTTTTATTTTAAAAAATGTTATTTTTTCTCTTCAATCCTAGCATATTATTTATTTATTTTTTAAACAAAAAAATCAAAATAAATTGAATATATATATATATACATATATATATATATATTACAAGAAAATTTAAAAATATAAGAATTAAATAATTATTGTTTGAAACGAAAAAGGCTAATTAATTTATTTTTGGAAACTAGAGGGACTATTTTATTATTTGATCCTTAAAATATGTTAATCATAAATATTTATTTTTTGTTGCTGTTTAATGACAGATTGTGATTTGTGTGCATTACGCGACAAGAACATCTATTAGAAGCAGACTAACAATGATAGCATCTGCAACGTTTTTGCATCATTTGGTTGCACTTAGCTTTGAGACACTATAATTCATGAAATAAGCATTATTCATTGGTTGAACTATCTGCCAATTCACCAACTATCCAAAATGGAAGAAAGGCAAATATGATCAGTACGTAGTTGACCCTTCTAAACAATCAATTAGAATTTAGAGCTCAAAAACTCTAAAAAAAAAAGCAATACAGCCATTTTCATTTACAGCTTCACTTTTCCTGAAAGCATATGCGATCAGTAGTTGACAGTTCTAATCAGATCATTCCCACCCCAAGCCCTCTCGAGTTCCTTGACTCACACAATAAATCCACACCTTCTCCCTTAGCTGTAATGACGGGTGAGAATGACCTTAACAGCTTCAAAAGTCCCTCAAATGACATCTCCTGTAGCATGTTTAACTCCATTGACTGCCCCTCACACCCTACTCCTACACTTTCGAATGGAAATGGAAGTGCCTTGTAAGCATCAATTGCATACATTCGATTCGGGTTTTGAAAAGGATAAGTTTTCTCAAACAAGTTGTTCAAGAGAGGATCAACTTCTGGGCCAACTTGGATGATGTTGATGTTATTGTTACCATATGTAGATAGCATTTATTTTGATACAACTGATGTATATTTGCTTATATTGTATAGCTATAATTAGAGGTAAATCAGCCTATAATATTGTCGATAATCACTACTTAGATTGTACAGCTATAGCTTGAGGCAAATTAGCCTATAATCACTCGTACTCATCTATTTATTGAAATGAAAGAGAAGAAAAAAGGAGGCGGTATTCAACCAAAATTCTCTTTTTTTGTCAAGCTTTTCATGGTATCGAGCCACTCATTTAAAAGTGTGAAATATTCTTTTCGAGAGGTTGTTCTTGGTATATCATCTCGGTGTTTTCTTTTGGATTTCGAGTGCTATTTTTTAATATCTTGTGGAAGCATTTTGGTATATTTTTTCTCTGTTTTAGTATTTCGTGTGGTCAGCTTGAAATTTCTTGTTTCTTTGTGATCTCGCTTTCATTTTTTTTTTTTAATACTTTCAAATGGTCGGTGGCAAATCGATTCGAATTTTGTATTAAGTTCATCTGTACGTAATTATGCAACATGGGAATTTCAATTCCAATTGTATGTTACTGGAAAGGAGTCGTGGGGACATATCGATGGGACTATTCCAAGTCCAAAAGATGCTACTCAACTTGCTCAATGGAAAATTAAAGATGCTCGGGTGATGTCCTGGATTACAAGTTCTTATGATTCTCAAATTGTTCTTAATTTGCGCTCATATAAAACTCGCTAAAGCTATGTGGGAATATTTGAAAAAGGTTTATTATCAAAGGAACTCGGCTAGAAGATTTCAATTGGAGTGTGAGATTGCAAATTACACTCAAGGAAGTCGATCTATTCGGGAGTATTTTTTTGGTTTTCAAAATTTATGGATTGAATTTTTCGACATCGTTTATGCTATTATGTCCCAAGATTCTCTCTCCGATATATTGGTTGTTCATGAAGTTAGCAAGCGTGATCAATTTCGATGAAATTGAGATCGGATTTTGAGAATGCTCGTTCTAATGCGAATCGTCATCCTCCTCCTACTTTGGATGAGTGCTTTGGTAAATTGATTCGTAAAGAACAACGGCTTCTTACATAAGCCCATCTTGAACATGAGAAGTTTACTACAACACCAATGGCTTTTGTGGCTCAATCAAGAGGTAAAGGTAGAGACATGAGCAAGGTTCAATGCTTTAGTTGCAAGAATTATGATCATATAGCCGCAAATTGTACCTAGAAATTTTACAATTGCTGCAAAAGATCGGAGCACATCATCAAAGATTATGGGATTCGTACCTAAAATCGCCAACATAATGCTTTTCAAGCCACTACAAATGCTTTACCTATATCAACAACCAATCGAATGCTCGAACCAACGATCCTTACCCCCGGAATGGTTCAACAAATGATTCTTTCGCTTTTTCAGCTTTGGGGATTCAAGGTAATGATAATCCATCCTTTACAACTTGGCTGATTGATTCTGCAGACATCAAATCATATGACTGGTTCGACTAATTTGCTGCAAAATGTCCGTCCATATCTTGGTTCCGAATATATTCGAAGTTGCTAATGGAAATACTCTACCTATTACTACTTTTAGAGATATTCCTCCAGCTTTTGACACTACTTTTATATCACTTGGACTCTCTAATAATCTCCTTTCCGTTGGACAACTAGTGGAAAATAATTGTAATGTCTTTTTTCTCATTATGGTTGTTATGTACGGGATTAGGTGTCGGGACAAGTGATCACAAAGGGGCCTAAAGTAGGACGTTTGTTTCCGTTACATGTCTCTATTCCGAGTAATGTTATTTCAGCTTGTTCTACTATTTTCAATAAGAATGAAATATGGCATAAACGTTTGGACCATCCTAATTCTAGTATATTGTCTTATTTGTTAAACTCGGACTTTTGGGTAATACTGATCAATTGTGTTCTTCTCGTCTTTCCTTTGATTGTTCAACTTGTAAATTAGGAAAAAGTAAAAGTCTTCCTTTTCCTGTTGTTGGTAGTCATGCAACAAAATGCTTTGATATTATTCATAGTGATGTATGGGGAATTTCACTAGTTATTTCTCATGAACATTATAAGTATTTTGTGACATTTATTGATGATTATAGTCGCTTCATTTGGATTTATTTTCTTCATTCTAAATCCGAGATTTTTTCCATTTTTAAGACTTTCCTCCAATATGTTGAAACTCAATTTTTTGTCGTTATCAAAATCCTTAGATCGGATTCGGTGGAGAATACATGTCTAAAGCATTTTATGAATTTTTAAATCAAAAAGGTGTCCTCGGCGATTATAGTTCGAGCGTCATAGGTAGAAAAAATAAAATTCTCATGAGTTTTTTTTTTAAATTTTAATATAAATAATTTGTTTAATTGATCCGAAAATTAGAATTTAATCTCGACATAAAAACTTCAGTAATATCTTATTTTTGAAAGGACGACTTATATGGTAATGAAAGGACTTATTTTGTGTTTGAAATTCTAATCTTCTCATTAATTGCTTCTTAGAAATTTTGTATCCATATAAATATTATAAATTTTAGCTTCAATATAGACACAGTATCCTCTATATAGATGTATATACCTATATATTGTTTAGCTTTGTGGACCAAATTAATGATGCTTGAACGTTATCTTCAAGCTAAAAGCAAGTTTATAATTGGAAATAACGTGTTGATTTATTGATGAATAAGGGATGAAGAAATTAATGTGGAAACAATATGATATCATTCATCATTCTCAAGAATTTTAATGCAAGTCTTGTTCATAGGGCTATAATTAGAAATGGCTAACAGAAAAAGAAAGAATTCAAGCAACATTGTGTGGTCAGCTGTCAATCAGCAAAGTAAATAATACTCTATTAATAGTAATAATAATAATTAATGATGTGGGTGAATTTCTAATTCATAACTCAAAAGTGGAAACATTTTCTGCAATCTTTCTTTGCGATATCGGGGCCTAGAATAGCAAGTTATTCTTTGCGGGTATTGTAATACTAATAGTACATTAAATGAAGGAAGTTTCCAAGCAAGCCACTGAGCTTGACTTCCAAGCTTAATGTGGGCTAGATTGTTTATGTAGTGTTTTCATCTTGATTTTGGACATACTTTTGGGCCTCTTCCATATATGCACTTGGGATAATTTTCTGTTTTTATTCATCTATAAGATGTTTTCGAACTAAATTTTACACATCTCAGACATTAATGTTTTCATTAACGTGATTAAAGAATATTTTTCAACGCACGATCTCGAGTATTCTAATAATAAATTCTAAAAAATACTTACAACAAAAATCAAAATTTAAATTTAATTTACAAATCAACGTTTGCTCGTTAACGACTTACCATGTTATAGTTATAATTTTCTATTTCTTAAATAACAAAACACATGCCCAAAATCTCAAAAAACCCTAAAACTAGATTAGGAAGAGAAAGACACAAACCACAAAGACTTTGAAACAAACTTTGTTTGGGTTTCATCACCTGCTCCTTCGTCCCATCTTCTACAATCCGCACCAGCTGCTGCTTCCACCATAGACCTTCTTGTACATGAGATCTGCAGATACAATTGTCAACCCCTTAATTATTAAAACAACTAGACAACTCTTCCACGCATCCCGTGAATAACAAAATGCATAACAAATACTTTAAATATGAATTTAAAATCTATTTCAGTAAGAGTAAAATATTGATTTAATTAAACAAAACAAAACATAATAATGAATTAAAAACACAATTAGTAATTAAAAAGGAAAAAAAAACTGGATATAAATTTTCAAATAAAAAAATTATACCAAATTAATTATCAAATAAAATTTACAAGGACAAATAAAGTAAAAGAGAGATAAAAAAAAAAAAAAACATGCCTGAGATAAAAGAAAAAAAAATGCCTACACCTTTTTTTTGAGAGGGAGATGGAGCTGTATGGAGATAAATGATTAAACTTCTTTTATTTTTAAAAATAGGTATAATTTTTCTTTTTCAAATAAAAGAATATAATATTAAGGAATTTTATAATCTCTCAACTTTTTTACTCCTGACTCTTATGTCGATAGCTTATTATATTTTTTATTCCTTACAATGGAAGATTTGATTTTATTGTATAAAAATAAATTATGAAAATAATTAAATATTTTAAAATACTCTATATATGATATTATATATTATTCGAAATCCTTTGTAGATGAATATAAAAAAAATCAAAAGAGGGCCAGAGAGGGTTAGGCCCGAACACTTGGGGCCACAAACCTTTAGCCAGCGAGTTTGGTTAGGCGCACAAAACCCAGCAGCAATTTTCTTTTTTTAATTAATGAAAAAAACAAAAAAACAAAAAAACAAAAAGAACAATAAACGGCGCCGTTTCGCATTGCTGGCAAAAGCACTGTTGAATGAACAGTGCTGACTACGGACCCCAATCCTCATTGTATTAGATTCCGAGTAAATTATAATTAGTCTCATTAATTTGTGGAAACAAATTAATTAGTTTGTTATTCCTTTCAAATACAAATTATTTATTTCTTTATTCAGTAGTATCAATGCTTAATTTAATATTACTTTTTATTTAAAAAAAATCTTATTTTTTCTCATCAATCCTAACATAATTTTTATTTTTATTTTTTGTTTTTTATTTTGTAAACAAAAAATAAAAATAAATTGAATATTTTAAAAAAATTAAAATTGTAAGAAAATTTAAAAATATAAGAATGAAATAATTATTACTTGAAACGAAGAAGACTAATTAATTTATTTTTGGAAACTAGAGGGACCAAGTTAAAATTTAGTCCTTAAAAAATCGAATGCCCAGAGCTGGGTTAATCATAATTATTTATTTTTTTGTTGCCATTTGATGACAGATTGTGATTTGTGTCCATTACACGACAAGAACATCTATCAGAAGGAGACTAACAATGGTGGCATCTACAACATTTTTGCATCATTTGGTTGCACTTAATTAGCTCCGAGACGCTTTAATTCATGAAATAAGCATCATTAGTTTGTTGAATTATCTGCCGATTCACCAACTATCCAAAATGGGAGAAACGCAAATATGATCAGTACGTAGTTGACCCTTCTAACCACTCAATTAGAACTTAGAGCTCCAAAACTCTAAAAACAAAGCAATACAACCATTTTCATCCACAGCTTCACTTTTCCTGCAAGCATATATGATCTGTAGTTGACTGTTCTAATCAGATCATTCCCACCCCAAGCCCTCTCAAGTTCCTTAACAACTTCTTCACACAATAAATCCACACCTTCTCCCTAGGCTGTAATGACGGGTGAAAATGACCTTAACAACTTCAAAAGTCCCTCAAATGAAATCTCCTGTGGCATGTTTAACTCCATTGACTGCCCCTCACACCCTACTCCTACACTTTCAAATGGAAATGGAAGTGCCTCGTAAGCATCAATTGCATACATTCGATTTGGGTTTTGAAAAGGATAAGTTTTCTCAAACAAGTTGTTCAAGAGAGGACCAAATTCTGGGCTAACTTGGATGATGTTGATGTTATAGCCCCAAACTGCGAGGACGCCTCCTGGCTTTCTTAGAACACGCTTGACAATAGGATAGAACTTTTCAAGATCAAACTAATGCAAAGCTGCAGCCACAGTGACTAAATCAACAGAATTTTCACCCCCAATCAAGTCCACTATTTCATCATCAGACATTGACAATGGGATATTGAACTTGGGGATGTGGTATGTCATGCTTTAACTGTTCTTCACTTATATCAGTTGCGATCACTTGCTTGTAGTGCTTAGCAACCTGCAAAGGACAAACTAAAGAAGGCTAATACGACCTGCAATCAGGAAGGCATTAAATTTGATATCCACTGCCTCATAAGAATCTGACCAACAAAAGTGGGCCAAGTTTACGCTTGCCAAACGAAAAATACAAAATGGAGTAGGTAAACTACCTGAAAATAGCATACTTCACCATTTTCTCTTGAATCAAAGCATTGGCCAGTTTTGGATTCATGACTAGTCTGATCCACCACCCCCACTTGCCCTTCTCACGATCTTTAACCAATCAGTTTCTCTTTCATTTTTCGTTTTCATTTTTTTCCCCCTCAATTTCTTTTCTTGCTATGTGAAAATCTTTGTTATGTCCTCATTAAATGGTTTACTCCTAGTAATCTTTTCTATCATGGCAAGTGAAAAAAAGAAGAAGCTAGTATTGCCTGATTATGATCTCACTGAAATGGTATCATACATAACCTCCAAAAATTTTGCATCAGCTAGGGCGTTGTGATCAATTTTCAAATGGTAAAATTGGTGGCAAGCATCAAACTTCCAATTTTTGGGTTTTAGCAAGTAGACCAACTATACAAATGGGAGATAGGCAAATATGCTGGCTTGCTTGCATTAACCATTACAAATTTACACCGAATGTTTGACAGTTCAGTTTTTCCAGATAGCATAAACAACCTTGTAGCTGACAGATATAGCCAGCCCCCGTTCTCCAACACTTCAGCAGAACTCTCAGGTAACAGATCATTTGGTATGTACACTTAGTGGGTTTTGCCTTGGAAGCTAAGCCTACAGTCTCAAGGAAATGGAAGTTTGTTATAGTCATCAAATAAGCACTGCATATTTGAGTTTTAAGAAGGAAGAGTTGTATCATGAAAGCACTTCATTACAGGACCAAATGCAGAAGATCATATTAGCACCAAACAGCAAATAGACCACAACAACAACAACAATAATAACTTCAGGGAGACAGAAAGAATGCTCTGTTTTGAACTATGCGATGTATGGATCAATTGCAATTGAGTGGTACATCTTAAAATCTGCACTGTATTTCAGCAGAAAAATAAACTTATTCTCGAGTCTGCCCCGAAGATCCCAGCAAAATTATTTCTGAAGTAAAATAATGAGTAACTCCAACTTATATTTTCATACAGTCCAAGTGGAATTAGTAAAAATACTACTAATTTAAGAGCAATGGAATCTAAACTCAAAACTTAACTCTTGACCTTTCCTGCAAGCATGTATGCCTTGTAATTGATAGTTCTAACCAATTCAGGCCCACCCCAAGCACTTTCAAGTTCCTTCACAACTTCTTCAGATAATAAATTCACACCTTGTTGCTTTGCTGTATTCACAGCTGAAGCTGAACTCAACAGCTTCAAAAGTCCCTCAAATGATGTCTCCTTCGGCATGTCTAATTCTAGTGGCTGCCCCTCACAACCTACACCTACACTTTCAAAAGGAAATGGAAGTGCCTTGTAACACTCAAATGCATACTTGACTTTTGGGTTTTGAAAAGGAAAACTTCCCTCGTAGAATTTCAATAATAGAGGATCCATTTCTGGGCTAACTTGCATGATATTATAGGTCCAAACAGCAAATACCCCTCCAGGCTTCTTTAACACTCGCTTGACGACAGGATAGAATTTTTCTAGGTCAAACCAATGCACAGCTGTGGCCACAGTAACTAAATCAACCGAATTTTCACCCCCAATCAAGTTCACTAGTTCATCATCAGACATTGACGATGGAGAGTGCAAGTATTGTACTTGGGGATGTTGTTTGGCATGCTTTAACTGTTCTTCACTTATGTCAGTTGCAATCACTTGTTTGTAATACTCCGCAACCTGCAGTGAAATTACAAGGTTGTAAGATACATCATTTATAACAAATTATTTGGGCGTACAAAAAAGTTATGCTGCTATAAAGATTAAAAGACAAAATCAGGTATAGCACATTGTGTAGCTAAATTGAGTTTAGATTGTGATGAACCCAGTAATATGATGGAGGAAATTTCTCATCAGTGCCAAACATTTGGTAGATTCTGATGTATAATTTCTTTTCAAGGAGATAAATTTATCCAAGACTTTCCCATCAAAGAAAATAAAACAAAAGCTGATTACCTGTAGATTTAAGTGTTGATTTATATCAGAACGTCAAATAAAGTTTTGTCAGACCTCAGTCCTACCATCATTAATTAGCACCACTTGGACCTAAGTACTCATGATTCAGAATAATAACACCATTCCTTATTATCATTTAAGATGGGACAATTTTACTGCTATGGTGCTTGGCATGCACACGTAACAAGTAAAATAAGCTGAAGTCATTGTGCAATAGGAAAAAAAAGGTGTTTTAAGAGGCAGTCAAGAATGAAGATAGATCAGTTCTCAATATATTCAGCAGTAGTTAGAGAGGAAGAGAGAGAAAATACTAACATCAATAGCTGCTTGACCATTGCCAGTGCCAGCATCCCAAGCTAAAGAGTGGTCAGGGGTGAGAGCAGCCAGCATTGAGAACCATTCTTTTGGATATCTTGGCCTTGCATCCAAATAAATTGCTGCCTGCTTGTCATATAACCCTGCCATTATAATTCTTGTGGATTCTGATGGTATATGTGCCTGTGAATGTTTTGGGGAAGGAGATTTATAAAGAGAGACCGATCCTTCTTTCTTGCCGATATATTTATTTTTTAAAGAGAGCAAATTTGACCTGCAATGTAGGTCTACTGCTCATGCATGAATCTGAATATCTGACCAAAGAAATGGCTCAATCATTCTTTGCTTAAAAAAAGTGGGCCAAAAGTCTCGGCATGGGCCATTCTGAGACAAGTCGAGAAGACCCTACCCCCAGCCTAACCAATATCTTTCTTCTTTGTAATGTCATACGATTTTCTTTTCTGTTCTGTTCTTTTTGTTTTACGCAATTAAAAAATCTTGCTTAGGTTAAACTTCAAAAAAGTTTACTCTCTGTAATAATCTTTTTTATGTCAAATATGAGTGAAATTTGGTATGATGATGAGTTGAATACAAATCAAATAGTTTTTATCAACTAAATTAACCAGGATTACTAATACAATAAAACACATCGGTTTTGAACGATAGTAACATTGTTCACCTCTTGATAATGTACAATTTACTCTTATGTTTTTTTTTATATATATATATAATTTTTTAATTTTTTTTTATCTCTAAAATTTTAAAATAAAAATTTTAATCCCTAGCCGATGCACTATATGCTCTTTTTTTATTTTTTTTCATCAATTTATGTTTTTTATTTATTTAATCGAGTGGTACCCTCACAATATACTATTCACTCTTAGGTTTTTTTTTTTTTTTGTAATTTTTAAATTATTTTGTTTTGGTCTCTAAAATTTTAATCCTAGCTGATGCACTACATGTCTTTTCTTTTTTTTCTTCTTTTTTTTTTCCTTTGCTTTTTTCCATCAATTTATATTCTTTTTTTTTAATGGATGTTAAAATTTTTAAACATCAATTGTTACTTTTTTCTACAAAAAAATGATGATTATATAATATATATAATATATTTTTATATTTTAGAATAAATATATACTACTTTTCTTGTTTAAAATTGATCTTTTTGATTTATTATAAAAACTCTCATGAAGTTAATTTTTATCCTCATTTTTTATATAATTTTATTTATTAATAAATATGATTTATTTTCTCCGTATATGAATTCAAATAAGTTTTTTTATACTAGTTTTTATTTGCTTAAATTTTATACAATCAAATTTTAAAAATAGAATATACGTATTTTATTTTCTTATTCTTTATATAATCAAATTTTATCGAAATCAATTTTATAGTGTTTATTGCACTCTATTAACTTCAATATATGTTTTATAATATTTTTCTATTTATACTATACATTCTCATCCATTGAGTACGAGTCATGATGTATAAATAATAATAATAATAGAATCATTGATTTTATTAGAAATTAACTATACATCTACACACACAATATCAACTATTTGTTATTATTTTTTTAAAATAAAATAATTGAAATAATATTTTAGAATAACCGCTTAATAATTCAAATACTATTTTGTATACTAATATTATTCATTACTTTGTAAATAAATATATATATAAATCAAATGTACATATTTAAAAAATAATCTTTTCATCGGTAAAAAAGCTTCATTTGTTAATTTTCATATAAGTTTTTATATTAATTGTTGTTTTATTTTTTCGATGTAATGTTATTAAAAAAATATTAAGACTTTTTTTTAAAAAAAATTTATATTAAAATTTGTTTATTGTGGGTTTTTATTTAGGAATAAATGCATAAGAAAGAACAAATCATTTTTTTTTACTTCAAAATTTATTCAAAACACAATATATATATATACAAATTTTGATTAAAAATTACAAAATTAGATGAAATTTAACCTTTTATACTTAATTTTATATATTTTAGTTAATCGGCAACATAATATATGTTATCAAACTAAAATAAATACGTTTTCTTTGGTTCACGAGTGTAGCATAGGAATCCAAACTGATCATATGCTTAAAATTCTTATTCACTTACTTGTTCATATGCATAAAATTACTATTCACTTAATGGTAATTTAAGTAATTTTTATATGAAGTTTTTTTATATATATATTTTTGGGCATTAATTTACAAATTTAGCACTTTTTTCTATTTTCGTCTCTCAAAATTGAAGCAATCAAAATGGAAAGCAATCACGTATTAGCAACTAAAGCACACTATGCAAGCAAGTAGCAATGACACATGACTTATCCTTGTAAAACAAGAGAAGTAAAGAGAACTGTGCAGGCCCTTTTGATCATTTTCTTATTCAGAAAAATGTATTCGCTTTTCTCCTTTTTCCTTTTTGAGAAAGAATACCAGTCTCAAGCTAATAATAAAACCTTAATTTTTGCCCGTTGAGGTAAATATCAGCAGAGACATAATACCAAATGGGGAATAAAATCAAGAATTCAAAAGTGAATTTACGTGGATATTCACGAACTCTTTAGCCTAAAACAAGAAACTTAGTTTTCTTAAGCAAATCAAATAACTTTATTCTTGGTCAAACTCATAGAGAGCAGGTAGGGGTGAGCAAACGATTCGGTTAATCAAAAACCGAATTATGAAATTTAGTTCGATTTTAAATATAAAATTATACAATATAAAACCGAATCGAAAAAATCGAAATTATTTCGATTCGGTTCGGTTTTTAGAAAAAAAATTTCAATTTCGACGAAAAACCGAAATAAAAAGTAAAAAATTTCCTAATTTCTAAATTCTTAACTTTTCAATCTTTATTCTTGTTGAAATTGAAACACGCAGATAGGAAGTAAATTTTGAGGACCGTTGGGGTAAGAAAAGAAAGTGACAGAGTATAATTAATTAGGATACAATGTGTTTGAATGAGCAAATTTATTACACTTGGACTCGTTTTCATTAAAGCTTAGTTAAAATCTTCAATGACTTTGTGATTGTTTATAAAAATAATTAATTGATAACAAGATGTTACTTCATTAGCTGGTGGACTAAGTGCTAGTACAAAATATTTCTCCGTAATGATTTTTTTTATAGTAAAATATTTCGGTTAAAACCGAAATATTTCGAAACTAAACCAAAATAATTCGGTTACAAATTTACCGAATTTATTTCGGTTCGATTTTGATTTTTATTTTTTTTAATTCGATTAATAAAAAATCGAACCGAATCGTACAAAACCGAACCGTTTAACCGAATGCTCACCTCTAAGAACAGGTGCAGTGTAGTATTGATGAGATCTTAGACTAAACTAAAGCAAGGAGTTCTATCTGATAATAAGATGGTAGTCAACCATATGGGGATGATATGGATCCGCTACCTATCACACTAGAAACATCTGACCATTAAGAGAGAAAAAGAAAGCAAGAAACTTGAGGAATATATGTATCATTAGCTAGAGAAAAGAAAAGGAAAAAGAGAGAACTAACACCAAGAGCAGCTTGGCCATTGCCAGTACCAACGTCCCAAGCCAAAGAGTGGCGAAGGGTGTGATCAGTCAACATTAGGGATGACAATAAACTAGATATAAAATGAATAAAAGCTTTATCTGACTCGGTAAATATATATTAAAAATATTTAATGGGTATTGAGATGAGTAAGGATAAAAAAATACATATTTACTAATATGGTTTTAATATATGAATATACATTATTTACTCTATTAATACTCACTAATTTATTTAGATTTTTTTATTAACATATAATGCTCGTAATTATATAAGATTTCAAAATTAAGGATAAAAATATTTTAAAAAAAATTTGAGGATAAAAAAACATATAAATAAGGACCAAAATGCAAAAAAATAAAAATAAATTTAAGGATCATCAAATCTTTTTTTTTTTTTGAAAATTATGAGGATTGAAATGAATATTTTTGATAAATTAACTTTAACGGGTATTAATCTATGGGTAAATTAATATGAATTTAGTATGAACTCGATAAAGATTTGTATAATAATTTTTTAATGATAATAAATAAAATAAAAAATTAAATTAATAGATCGGGTATATACCATTCCTAGCTAGCTTTGAATACTATTGGGTTGGATAAGTTGGTCTTCCATCTAATTAAAGATCAGCTTGCTTGTCAAACAGTCCTGCCATGTTTTCTCAATTTTTTGTGAGTTAGCTGTTCCTTTGTCTGTGACCAGCTACAGCATAAAAACTTATCTTACAAGTCATTGATTAGTATAAATTTAAAAGCAAAATTTTTTTGAAGGAGAATTAAAATTATGAAATCAAATTTTACAAATAATCAATAAGATTGATAGATTATTGAAATTGAAGGTATTCAAGTAATTTTTATTATGTTTATATGTAAAACATGGACAAATCTTAAAAAATGTAAGAAAAATCTTGATTTTAATGTACCCAAGCATGGAGGGATCAAAATTCATGGAATTGAAAGTATAAAAACTCATTCTGAAATGAAATTAAAATCAGAGGAGAGAAAGTTTTCCTAGTTTTAGTGCTTCCATTACTCAAATACAAGCTATTATCTATCTTTTTCTTCACATATAATTAATATTCAAAGGAAGCAAAGAATAGCAAACTTCCTTTCTTGCCTTGGTAAGTCATATTGAATGTCCTTCTATATTTTGGTAGGTAGGGGTATGAGAAGTAAATTATAAATTAGTCCCTCTCATTTAGAGACACAGATTAATAGTACTATTCTTTTAAAAACTAATTATTTAGTACATTATATTTTAATTCCATTAATAATTTAATCTTTTCATCCGTTTATGTAAAATTAGTAATTTTTATGCCTAAGTTACATTTTTCTTTGAGTTTTTGTTTTTGACAAGAGATAAAAAAATGGATGAAGAAGAAAAATAAGACATCAAAAAATCACTAACCTAACAAAAAATAATAAAAAGACTAAATTATTGATAAAATTTTAAAAAATAAAAGATTAAATAATTAATTTTTAAAATAATAGAGATTAATAATTATTATTTTTTTCAAAATAAGAGGGACTAATTTATAATATACTTATGGCATGAGCATAAGCATAAAACTTAGCAACTTTCTCCTTCACACGGTCAGAAGGAATTGTTTATTGTTGACTGTCCTTTAGCCCCACGGGAACTGTCTTCTGATCATCATCACCAGCCAAGCCACCTTGTGATGTGGTCCCACAATTCTAAATCACCACTCAACACGTTTCTCCTGTGCATGCATACAACCGCTAAGTGCACCTCACGCACATGACAACAAATCTTCCCCCTTAAAAATTAAGAAAAATAATTCCCGTGAATTCGATGCACCACCTTCCACAAAAGGAGACAAAAGAGAAGCCAGAAAGCCGTTCCGTCCCAAATTATTCTCTTACTAAGAAACCCCACCACGCTTTGTAAACTCCAGCACCAATAATCACATGCCACGTATAAAGTAGCATTGCGTGGCAAGATTGCAGTGGAAGATTAATATTTTAATTGGGTAATTAAGTAATCGTAATCACACAAAGTCATAATTACCGAACAAACCAGATCTTATCTCTGCTTTTTCAAAATTTCCTCATGGATCTCCCACTGCCAACTCCTCCTCATGCTTCGAATTCAACTAATTTGACTAATAGAAACCATCTCGTAAAGTATTTTTAAATACAAATTATAAATTAAGTAACTCGTTCTGTTTTTATATAATATTATGAGTATTTTAAGTTTTTAATTACATTTCATTGTTTTTAAAAATTATTTAAATATTCAATTTAGTTTTTCGTTCAAATTTTCTGATAAAGATAATTTTTTTTAATTGAATGTATAAAAAGTAAAAAAATAAAAAAAAACATAAAACATTTCTATATATTTCAAAAATAAATTTTTTTTTATATATTTTTATTTTTTTATATATTTCAATAAGAAGTATTTCGATTACAAAATTTACTTATTATCTAATAAATTGATTAAAATAAGATTGAATATTTAAATAATTTTTAAAAATAAATAATATATAATTAGAAACTTAAAAATATATAAAAAATTTAAAATATTATATAAAAATAAATTGAGTTATTTATTTCAAATAAGATTACATAAAACAAACAAAGTGAGACTAATTTCTACATTCCATATCGGTGTTTAAACCTAACCTAAAAATAATTATGAAATTAGAAGGAAAATCTCCAAACTGGACCCACAATGTTGTATGTGTTACAACACAGACTTGCCGTTGTGTCTCGTCTGCTTCTTGCACATATATGTACTTCCTCCTCTTCAGTTTTCGGTCTCGTATTCCTGTCTTGTCCGCGTTTCAATATTCCTCTTACAGCTGCCGCTTCCCTAGCACACGGTGTAAGAAACACTAAAATTTTCTTCTTTCTTTCCCAAAAATAAATTCTTTTTTACTATATTTTTGGAAAAACAAACACATATATAAATATTTTTCTCGACCAACCAGCCGAGAATTCAATTCCTTTTTCTTTTCTTAACGAGAAAAAACCTTGCAAGATTTTTTTTCATCCTTTGATTCTTTTGTTTTTGGGGTTTGAATGCAATAATTTGCATGCATGTTGAAGGAAATGGATTTCGATGAGAAGCAGAGTTTTGGTTTTGGTGGGAATGCAATGATGGCTAAGTTGTCAAGATTCTCTTGGTCACCTTTTCTTTTCTTGATCACCCTTATAGCTTTTTTATCCTTTCAAATCACAACCAAGACCATCTACCCCATAAAGATTGCATTCAGTTCTACGTCGAAAACCGATATTTCGTCCGATGCAAGAACCAGCTGTGTCGGGTTCTTTGGAGAGTTGCCGGAGAGAAAAACTGCGATGTCGATAAGGGACTTCGGTGGGGTTGGCGATGGAAAAACTTCTAATACCGAAACGTTTCGGAAGGCGATACGGTATCTGCAACGTTTCGGGAATAGTGGCGGGGCCCAGTTGAATGTGCCTAAGGGAAGCTGGGTCACAGGGAGTTTTAATTTGACGAGTAATTTCACTTTGTTTCTTGAGGAAGGTGCTGTTATTTTGGGCTCTCAGGTATTTGATATTTTTTTCCCTGTTTATAAATGATGTTTTGTCTTGTTCGTTCGTTTGTTTCATGTCTCACTCGTATGTATCCTCGCGTCAATTTTCACAAGTGGAGTGTAAATTCTTTTACTTTTTTCTTGGTCGGGTCTTAAAGTATCCACATCCAACTCATGCATTCATTAGAAATCATGTTTTTCGTTTTCTCAGATGGTTTGAGTAGAGGATTTGGTCATGGACAATGGGTCTAAAACTTATAAATTAATTTCTCATCGATTTTAGTATTGTTCATTTTAGATTTTGAGTTCATGTTAATCAGACATGTTGTATCTGTTGATTAATGAGAACTTTTCATAGATTCCTAACATGAACTAAGTAAAATGTTAATGAGTCTCCAATAATTTGATTTGATGACAACCCTTTTTTTGTATCTTTTCAAAACGATGTTTTTGTTGATTTATTTTTCACAAAACGGTGGGGAAAATTGATGGTGGAAACAGAATAAGCTTTTTAGATGGGAAGAGAAAGAATGCCTTTCAAGTTGGTTTTTCCTTTTTGGTTGAAAATGGAAAATTGGGAGGTCACGGTGATCATGCTTTCTGCTACTTTTTTAGCCCTTTTCCTAGAAAAGAGAGAACAGGGTTAGGTGGATGCTGGTGTGCTGAAGGACACGCATTTGAGCATCCATCAAACTGCTTGCCACTTTGTCTAGATTCTTTGATTTGTATTTTTGGTTGCTTCTACAAGGCCGAGTTGCTTTTCTTTACTGCAAAGAAATAGTCAATGAATATGTGACACAAAAGTTATCCTCTTGTGCGTAATTGATTAGATAAGTCAGTATGTAATTGAGTCAGCATGCATTTATAGTTATTAGCTTTTTTTTTTCTGCTTGATTTTTATTATTATTATAGTAATATCTTTTGCCAAAATCAATTCCACCTAATAAAATCTTCTCATGTACCAAGAGTGCATGCCACAATTCACGTTTGTTGCTGTCTCTTTTTTTTTTATTTTAATTTTTAATTTTCTGTTGCTTCAATTGTTTTATGTTTTTGGATGACAGGATCCAAAGGAATGGCCGATCATTGAACCATTGCCTTCTTATGGAAGAGGCAGGGAGAGATTAGGGGGAAGACATATTAGTCTTATTCATGGAGATGGCCTCACAAATGTTGTCATTACAGGTACTCTGCTTGTTTCTTTTACCAAAATTTGTTTGTATAGAAACAAATAAAAAAAAATGCTCGTTTCGCTTGCATGATTTTTCAGAATTACTCAATTCATTTCAAGTTGTCTGGATTATTTGGAATTTTAGCATATTTGATCAGCAAAGGGTTTAGCTCTTTCCTGAATTCTTATGGTTGGTGTCATCTCAGTTTGTTGAAAACTTTTAATGTGTCTAAAGCAAGATGATATTGGAGTACTACATTTTCACATATATTGGACAGAAAGTTTTAATTCATCCAGCAAGAATAAAGCATTTTGAGTTATGATTCTCTTGCTGATGTTTGCATTGGGTGGGCAAAATCTCTTTTTGAGCAATTAATGAAGTTTGATAATATTAGAAGGGGGAAAGATAACTCTTGATAATTGGTTTACGAGTCTTGTTTGTCCCTGAGGAAACTCGTAGGGGTAAACAATTAACTTGTAGCATCTGGCTATCTGCTTATAGCAGCTAGCATAAAATAAGCTGCTGCATTTACCTGCTGTATACATGAGAAGTTATGGGAGAGGAAAAGCCTTCTGGGTGATTAATAATTCTCTTAACAGTAACTAGTTTCTGATTCTGCAGTTTACACTGCATGCCATATCCTAAACTCGAAAATTCTTTTAGCACAGTGAGAATTAGAAGCCATCCAATCTTCTATTTATTCCGAAAAGTATCAAATGCCAGGGTGTCAAATCTATAATCCAAGAGCCAGTTTCAGAACATGCTCTGCAGAGTATTGCTGTCTTGTTTATCGAACAATTTGTTCAAAAAATTGATCAGTTTGATTGGTTTTGCAGGAAACAATGGGACAATTGATGGCCAAGGGAAGATGTGGTGGGAATTATGGTGGAACAGAACGTTGGAGCACACAAGAGGCCACCTTGTAGAACTAAAGAACTCTAACGATATTCTCATCGCCAACCTCACCTTTCTCAATTCTCCATTTTGGACCATTCATCCAGTTTACTGCAGGTTGCTCACTCTCACCCTTTTATCCATTGCTTGGTTTCTGTTTTCCCTTGTACTGTGTTGGATTAACTTAAAATACTTTAATATGATAAAGAGTTATTTGCCTATAAAAAATGTAATAGTAATAGATCATATATAATATTGCTGATGTAATTTTGTAAATGTGCTGAATATATCTATCCTATTAGATGATATAACATAGAAAAAACTGAACCAGAAAGTAAGACATTTTTCTTTCCAGCAAATTTTCTTTCGGTTGAGTCTAGGAGTGCTTTCCCATGCCAGGTCCTGGTTCCCTTGAAAGTTGAAACTAGTGATATACCTCATTATCATCCAATGGGTTTTGTTAGCCCTACATTGTTATTGAGACTTAGGATAGAAATTATAATAACAAGCATAAGTCCAATGTTAGCTGACTTATATCTTGTCATAATTATATTTTCCAACTGGAAATTGTAGTTGGGAACTAATATTATTAGCTCTGTATTTGTTTCAGCAATATTGTTGTTAAAGACATGACAATCTTGGCTCCTCTCAATGCCCCAAATACTGACGGTATAGACCCTGGTACGATTCTTATCTTTCCTCCCTAGTTTTCATTGCAATGAGACATGAAATAAAAATGGTTTTCCTTATGGTTTTCGTTTCTTGTGCAGACTCAAGCACAAATGTGTGTATTGAGGATTGCTACATTGAGAGTGGGGATGATCTTGTAGCAGTCAAGAGTGGCTGGGACCATTATGGTATAAAAATGGCTCGTCCAAGCTCAAACATTATAGTTAGGAGAGTATCTGGCACCACCCCTACTTGCTCTGGGGTTGGAATAGGTAGTGAGATGTCTGGTGGAATTTTTAACATAACTATTGAAGATTTGCATGTCTGGGATTCTGCTGCTGGTGTGAGAATTAAGACTGACAATGGCAGAGGAGGATATATAGCAAATATCACTATAAATAATGTAACAATGGAGAGAGTTAAGGTTCCGATAAGGTTCAGTAGAGGCTCCAATGACCACCCAGATGAAAGATGGGATCCTAAAGCAGTTCCAGTTGTGAAGGGTGTTTATATCCATAACGTGGTCTGTTTCAATTCAACAAAAGCCCCAGTATTGGAGGGAATTGAGGATGCACCATTTGGTGGAATATGCATGAAGAATGTTAGCTTGTTTGGAGTGCTATCATCTCCATCATGGCGTTGTGAATTTGTCTCAGGTTTTGCAGATGAGGTATTTCCAACACCATGCCCGCAGCTGCAGAATAATATATCTTCGTCTCGATGTTCATACTCTTGAGCTTCTTCCATCAATTTTGATCAAATTTTCAGAATTCAGATTGCTCTGATTGTTTTCAGAGACTGGTTTGTGTTGAGCAAATTACAGTGGAAAAACAATATTATGGACGCTGTTGGGTTGACCACTTGAGGAACCACATTACCGGTCTGACTTGGGCATTTCGTAAGTTATATTTTTGCTCAGGCGTGATATGAAGCTGCTGCATGGATTAGCTCTCAGATGACTGCTCGAGCACTTGGTACCATACTCCAATTTTGGCAAATTTGTGATTGCCTCCTGCAGTTTTGACTTGCCTCGGTGATTTTCCGACTTGGGATTTCAGTGATTCTTTGTCATTGGTAACTGATTGCTGCATATAAATATACTAGAAGGTTTACCTGGGGATTTAACTGAGCCCCAACCACAGAGAGAATGGAGGATCGATTACTTGTCTCATAAGAATACAGGAAAATTTAATATAAGGTATATTTTCCAGTATTCCAGGATCGGTCACTCAGACCAAAAGAATTGTAGGAAATTCTTTGTAGGAAATTTGATAAATGATATATTCTAGCTTACCTCCTTTCATCTTTGACACCACAGTTTTCTGTCCAAACTGGATTTTTGGAAGAACAGGTCATTTTTGTTCACTTAGTCCTAACAGGATTTGGAGTCACCGCTCCACCTCTCATCTCTTTCTTGGTTTCTGTTCTTGTAAAGAAAGAGATAGACGAGAATCCTTGCTGACTTGTGTAGTCCTCGCTGTGTTTAATGTTATTTACTAGCCACCATGGCAAACCAGATTCTCCTTTAACAGGCTATAATACTGAAAGTTCCTATAATACAACAATTCTGATTTCTGCATTTATTTGTTAATTTGGATGATATAATTAGAGTTAAGAGATTAACTTAGCATAGAACGTGCAACCACTACATTTTTCTTGCGTGTTCCCGGAACAAGTCTCACTGTTTAGCAGAAATTTGTTCATCTTGTCATAATCATGAGCTAGTTCTATCAAGGATATTGAGTTTGAAATATTAATGTGCTGGATTGTCTCATCCATAAAGTTTGAGCTACCTTTGATGAACTACTTTTTAATGGGTTAAACATTTTATTTTCAAAGGTTTCAAGGTCTAATTTCCCCCATCCACTCTCAGGTAAAGTTCGTCATAAAAATCAGGAATTTTTCTCCAATCTCCATACACACTCCAGGGATGGAACAATATTGAGCAAGAACAAAGGAAAATATAGGAGAAAAGCACGGAGAAATCAGAGACAAATGGATTGTAAAGTTTGCTGCAAGGAAAACTAGATACATGTTGGAAAATAGAGATTTAAAGAGATAGCTCTCCCTCTTCACCACTTCCAGAAAACATTGGAACCACACTTGTATTTGTCCTTTCCTTCACACTCCAAAGCCAAATCTTCAGAGATAAATGGAACTTTCTGCAACAACCAAAGGAAACCAATTAGAAGACATAATCATATGGCCTAATCAACTAGAAATAGAAATCATAAAACTACATATACGAGTTGCACCTTTTGCTTGGCAAGATCTTGGCAGCCTGTGAAGTTCTCAGGGAACTTGCATGAACCAAATTGAACCGTGTATGCTCTTGCAAAGTTTGCTCCACTAGTGGCCAATCTCTTCTTGTCATTCAATTCCTACACAATATCCCTCCACAAATTAACATCATAATAGAAGCAGAAGGTCCGATAGATAAAAGATCCAATAAAGGTCGTGAAACAAACCTTGTTAGCTTTGCTCTTTTCAAGGTACTCTTCAATGACTCCAGCATTGGCAGAAGCAGCAGCAGCAGCTGATGTGAAAAGGGTAGCTGCAAGATAAGCCATTGCAGCTCTCCTTCCGTCACTTGCCTTCATTTCTTTAGAATCAGCTCTACTCTGTTGGGCTCTGATCACAGGCAACTTGGGACCAGACACAGCAGGGGATGCAACTGCAGGCGCGGAAACTATCTTTGCATTAAGCTCAGATGATCCAGTGCCTGAGATGGCATAGTTGCATGCCAAAACACTAGAGTTCATGGCTGCCATTGCTTGCAAAATTTGTGTTATTACAAAACTGAGATTCTACTTTCTTTCTTTAACAAAGATGAGACTAGTGGTGATGAAAGGGTTATTGCTTATTTTTGATGTTGTGGATATTCGATAAGGAGTGATGTGGAAGGAGGGGATGATGAATGTGATTAAGGTTGTGGTTGGAGTGTGGATAAGGTGAGATCGCCTCACTCCTATTGGCAAGTTTTGCTTCTCATGCTAGTTCTGTGCTTGTAAAAAGTATATGGTTGGCTTGGATTTTGGGCCCACTTTGAAATCAAAATGGGCTTTTGATGTTATCTCTTTGCTTAACAGGTTAAGACTTAAGACGCAGGAAATGCCAGCGATCCACCGTGACGAAATTAACCAATTTGGAATATGGGAATTATGCCCAAACGTGTAATATTTAGATGCTTTCTTTTTTTTTTTTTTATTTATTTCTTAGATTCAAACATTAAGATTAATATGTAGAAAAAAATTATTAATTTCTTTTTTGAAAATACTAGACTGATGAAAAGAAAAATATTTTTTCTAAATCATCTAAAAAAACAGTCTCCATTGATGCACAAAATGCCAAGATAATGCACTTACCATCCAGGGAAAAAAATAAAATAAAGATGCTTAAGAGTTTACAGAGTTGGTTTCTAATCAGTCACTGCAATCTGTTCCATCAATGTCTCCGATTATCAGGACAAGTGACAGATACGCAAGGCAATGAGAAAAAGAGAAACCATAGAAAAGATTAAAATCCGTGAACCTGTTGTCTGAAATTGAAACATAAATTCCAATGGAGAAAAAATACTTGGAATCACCCCCCATGGATCTCAACACGGTGTTCTCCTGCAGGTGTAGTTGGTTTGTTAAAAATGATATTTTAGGATTATACTGATCGTCTTGCTAGTAATAGAGCTGTTCTAACTGTGCATAACTAGAAAACTTGCCAACTGTCGATTTTTCATCCTAAGAAATTTTGCAAGAAACTAAAAAAAGAGTCAAAATAGGTAAAAAGTTCTATAGAATCTATACAAATTTCCAGCAATGCCACCTTACAAAAATTGATAAACATAATTCCATTGGCGTATTTTCCACCAATATTTCCTTCTGAATAAAAATAAACCTAAGAGGCCTCCCTATACACAGCTCCAGGAATGAGAGAACGAAATAAATACGTAATCCTTCCAAAGTTTGAAGGAATGAAACATGGCGACGAATGTGCAAAAATGCAAGTGTCTGGACACGCTTTGACGTACCTCAAGACACATTTATATTTTGCAATTGCAGCACAGAAATCCCATGCCTATCATCAAAATGAAACGATGGCGGTGGCAACGATTATACAGATCTTGGTTGATTGAGTATAGATCAGGATTCAGGAAACTCCCCTTCCAGTGGAGTTAGGATGACAGCACTCGATAAGTTTAGAAACCAAAGCGAATATGAGCACATTTTCAATTGGCATAGGTCAGAAGCGTCAAAGAAGCAATCTTTTATATACCAGCTGATGCTACCTCAATCTTGACAATCTTTTACGCTTTTGATTTTTCTTATGAGCAGCAGCATGGTTTGGCCCATTCTTAGAACTGGATGGAAGAGCCTGAATTGATGATGGTATGCCAACAGATGTTCTGCCCTTCTTTGAAACCCATTTCAGTGGCATGTTATTTACCACAGCACCAACGTTATTTGAACCATTCAGTTCGGCAAGTTGTGTAATTTGATCCAGCATCTGGTGTGCCCAGGCGATAGATAGATCTAGACCAACCGAGTCATCCATAGGTTTTTCCCACAGACCTGTCAACATCTCTTTGAATGACCTAAAAGACATTGAGGGTTGATAACCATCACGATTTTCACAGATCATATGGACCTTGATAACATGCTTGCAAAGGTTTCCCTGCAATGACCATGCACAATCACAAAAAGCAAATTCCGATCCGGGATTCCACACTAAATGTGTTAGACTGCTGTCCTTTTGACTTGAGACCTTAGCAAAGAGGTGATCCTTATCACTTACAGTAACAGAAGAATCGGGAATTTGCAAAGCCCTGTGCCATGACGTAGATGCAATATATTCCTCCTTGACATTTTGAAAAGAACCACTTTCATCAGCGTACCTATCCAGCCAGTAACTTGAATGCAACTCAGTTGTCAGCTTGTGCACTAACCAATCCACTCTTTGGAGTGCACCAAGATGTGAATCATCAAATAATTTAGCTTTCAGCTTTACATGATAAGCCTCTATGGCACCTGATGCCTCTTGACTTGCTAGGGGAAGAGTTTTCATAATCGATAGCCACATTTCTGTCAAAGGAGCAGACAACAAAATAATGAGACATATGAAGTCAATGCCATTCTACATGACTTAAACAAGCATGCACAAATCCAACGCATTTATCTGGTGTCTGTAAAAGAGAGAACTAACCAATCTTAGGTACCCAAGAGGCTTTGAAATATTGTATGAATGCAGTCTGATCAACAAAATCATTAGTGAACTCTTCCAAGGCAGACAAAGTATCAACGCCACGCCAAATGCTGTAAGCTATTTCTCCCAGACGCTTGAAAATCTCACGCTGAACTTCAATGTTATTACACTTTTTAACAATATTTCTCAGCCATGATCTACGAACTCGCCAGAGGGAAAATAATACAGGACAGCCAAATATATCCCTGAAAATCCAGACAAAGCGAGGAATAATAAGACTACTGTACAGGCTGCATTTTTTAACTACAGATGAAAACAAACCGTATAGCAAAAATATCCTGCCTTATGGGATCAATTTCAGCAGCAGCATCATCAATCAAGAATCCATTGATCTTCCATCCAGGCTCCACACTTGATGCTCGACCAAGTAGAGCCTTCATCCACTTAGCAACATCTGGCTTTGCAGAGCTACGTGTGATGATCCATGCAACAGGAAGTGCATGTTGTCTCGAATCAAAAACAAGAAGTGTGCACAATGGATACTACCATTCAAATACATAATGCCGTCAACAACCACGAAATGATGTTTTTCAAGGTTACATAAAAAAAGGTATGCATAGAATACCTTGAGTCTCTTAATGCCAAATGTTGAATCTGCTGCAATGAGACTGCGGTGTCCAAAACGGATCATTTGCTGCAATTGCCATTCTGTTTGAATTCCTAGAATGAAAGCATCTGATTCCGAAGAATCTTGATAAAAGAATATGGATTTCTTATTGCGTTCAACCCACATCCTGATGCTAGCTTGATCATCTAGATCCAACTCATGAGTAGATCGTTTGATGATCATCCCAAGTTTCTGAACATATTGTGAAGCAAGGCTGTCGACTTTTGCATTTGAGCCACAGTATCGTTGAATCCCCTCAATGTGTTTCTCCAACACGTTCTCCTCAGGTATTCCAAGATAAATCATAGACATTGTTTGCTGCTGAATTTCATTACAAATGTACGGAATTTTTTTGGCTCCAGGACCAATGGCATCTCTGTCAAGTGGTCCGTGGCAAACAAAACCAGATTTGTTTACATGACGCCTTTCGTTATATATAATTAGTGCCAGTGATGGACGAGCATATAGGCGCTTTACTACAAAGTGGCATGTACAGCCACGCATAGACTGAGGCCTTGCAGCACGATTTCGGGTGTTAAGACGATATTTTCGACTAGGTAATACTCCTCCACCTTCACCATAATTTTCAGGACCAAATGAACACCAATACCTTCAAACGTAAATGAAAACCAACATGAGAACTTATATATGTAGATTAAGTTAAAAAAAAAAAAAAAAAAAAAAAGAAAAATTTGACAATAAATTTGATGAATATGATGGAGCAAGTCATTTACCTTTTTTATTCACATGGCATACAGTCAATTATACACCTGAGTTAAAAAAAAAAAAAAAATACATATATTCACAGAGTGCCTGATTAGCTTGCTTTGGGAAGTGGTTTTGGTCTTAAACAATACTTCCAAACCCATCCAGGAACAAAAATCCATAACTGCTAAAAGCATTTAGAGAAGTGCAATTAAGTAAATCCAAAATGAGCCTTAGTGATATACTGGAGAAATTCACAAAAGGTGAGACTTCTCATTTTAGCATTGTGAGGGATTTGAGAGGGGAAACGATTGTCAGATCCTAAGCAGATTTGCTACAGATTATGGAGTGGATAGGTGGAGATAATTTACAAATTCAAGGATGCCATGTTCTCCTCTGTTGTAATTTGATACTCATTCTATACAAATCTCCTCTTCTTTCCTTTTTCCACATAATATGCCATGAACAAATATATTCTAACAACTTTGAAAATGGTTTTTAAATAAGTCAATGTGTCCCATTCAAACTAGACAAGATAATGGGAAGACATGACAGGTATATTGGGCATAAGGAAATGAATAATAAAAGGAGCAAACTTGCATTCTAACAACTTAGCAGATTCTTTATGAATGCCAATCCAAAAAAAGAAAAAAAAAAGCATGCAACAGAAATCATACAACAATGCAAAATGAATTTCAAGAACACTAGAAACTTACAACTTATATTCCAAATATTCATCATTCTTGTACTCCTTCAAACTGCCTCTCGATCGTTTCCTTCCCCTCTCGATATGGAACCGCGTCGGGCACTCCGCATTAGAGCATTCCCCAATTATAAAGGTATCAACTCGATCATAAGGAATGAGCGCTACATTATCATGATGCTCATCCGTACCAAACTTTGTCCAAGTCAAATCTGCAGACGAAAAATCCTCCTCCACAGGATTTTGCACCGGAAGATTGAGAACAGATTCAACTATCTCCATCTCCGTCGCATCGCCAGCTGCTGCTGGTATACCAGCAAAACAAGCTTAATCAGTTAGAAGAAAGTCGCAATTTCCAATCATCAGCACCTGCGAGGGCATGTGTGTGGGGCCCACACACCCGTCAAACTAAAAATTACAGTCTTTCATTTCATTTCATTTCCTATTATTTGTTTTTACATTTCCTAGTTATCTAGAGAAGGAAAAAAAATGCTTTGGAGTTTAAATGCCAATTTCTGACTTGATTTCTACTCTCTCGGCATCCAAATAGAGAGCCAAAATTGTAAACAAAGAATAACAGCAAGAGCAGCAAAACATTCTTCACAGTTAAGTGGAGTATTTAATTCAATTAGGGTTAGCTTATACATAAAATAATCAAATTTACTTGTAATAAATTAAGAGGCAAAAACGAAAGGAGGGAGCGTTGACAGAGAGATACCTTGAGAGAGAAAGAGAGCTAGTTGAGGAGAGAAACGGCGTCGCGTGAGTGTAGTAGGCGCGAACAGAGGTGGCAGAGGATGAAATTTTGGAGTGAAGAGTTTAGAATGAGAGGAGGGAAGCAGAGAATCCAAAAATGGCTATTGCTGTAACTGGATGACGAGGCAGCCGTATTGTGGGTGGCTTCTTGGCTTTGGAGAAGCAGCAATGTCAAACGGCGCAGTTTCGTGTTAGGGTATTCAAATATAGGGTTCATATATATATATATATATATATTTTAAGATTAATATATACTTGGTGGGCAAATTTTTAATTTTTTTTTATTCGAATGTGTAAATTTTTTAATTTTTTTAATACAATGTGTTTGTTGAATTTATGCTCGCATGACAGTTAAATTAATACATTTGTATGTTTACATATCCGTTATATTAGCATGAATATTTTATTTTATTTCTAATCGAATGTTTGTATTTTTTTTATTTTAATACTTATTTTTTATTTTTTATTTTATTTGAGTGTGTATATTTTTAATTTTTTCTATTTAAATGTATGTATTTTTAAGCAGTACTTATCGATAATTATTAATTAATTTTGAAATCTAACAAATATTCATTTTACAATCTTGCGTAAATCATATTTTCATCAAGTTAAATAAAATTAAAACAACAAATAAGTATAACAACCTATTAAATTTTTTTTAAAAAGAATAAATATGACTTGTCAAAAAAAGAGAAGTTAGATTGCTTAATTTCCTCTACTTTCTCGCAAATCAAATAGATTTCCATCACTAATATAAAAAAGGTAAAAATAATAATAATAATAATAATAATAATAACAAATTCGTCATACAAAAAAGCTGATTTATTTTTTTTAAAAAAATAATTTTATATATTCTATTTTTGAAATAAAATCTTTGATCTCTCAAGTGCACACACAGATATATTTTCATTCCAATCTCCATCAATACCCTATAATTATTGTAGTTATTTTGTGATTTATTTATTATTATCATTTTATTTTCTTATCTAGTCAATTATAGTCAACATATTTTTTTTTACGTCTTTTATTATTATGTTCTTTTAATTTTAGTTTTATTTATTTTTTTATTGTTTTAATTTTTAATTTTAGTTAATTTGGTTAAAATATAACCTATATAAAATTACAAAGTGAATATTCGTTAGATTTCAAAATTAAAGCACTCATTGAATTTTTTTTTAAATAAAAACACTTAAATATTTACACTCAAATAAAATATATATATATATATATATATATATAAATGCATACATTCAAATATAAAACCGATTCGAGATTGAGTAAATCTTCTTTTAATAACCTAAACCAACCTCTTAAAAGCATATTGTTTTATTTATTTATTTCAACTTCGAAGAAATAGTATAATGGTTAAATTCTTTTGTGTTTTTTTTTCCTTATATGGAAGGTACAGCAAGGACCACCAACTCGACCCGAGGGAAATTATTTTCAGTTCCGTGTCAAAGATATGGGAGGTTAGTAGTGGGATCCTGAATATTGTTTGCGATGATGAATTTCATTTTTATAATTTTTATAAGAATGACAGGTGGTATTAATAATTTCTATAAATTAAATACGTAAACAGTTGGTCAGCTAATCTAGAACGAGGTTGCACGTAAGCCAAAAATTTTCAAAAGAATAACTGTAGTCCTTCCAATTTAGGTATGTTTTCATATTAGTCTCTTCAAAAAAAATCATAACATTCCTAAAGTCTCAGGATATTTCTCACTTGCCATCCCAATTAGTCCACGTCTCACCTCTGTTTCGGCGCCTATTTGCTCAAGGTAGGCATGCTTAATCGAACCATTTATTCTTCCCTCTCTTTGCAAATTAAAATTAATGAAAAAATCAATTGAATTTGGACGAGGAGAACATAAATAGTGTTTTTTTTTCTAGAGTAATTTAGATTTAAAGATCCAGACTAATCCTTCGTTATTCAATTAGGTGTACAAAATAGACAAACTTATCAACAAAGTTTTCTATATATACAAAAATTCAAATTCAAAATCACATTTTTAAACTTATCAAAAAAGTTTTCTACGAATACAAAACAAACAAATCATATGTTAAAATTAGATGCCATAAATCTTTTTGGTAGACCAAAAATATTGTGGATGGTAAAATGATCAATAATTTTTTTTTTCTAAAAAAAATTAATTCTTGATTTCATTACATCCTCATTCTCATAATTACTATCAATATTAATCGTAGTGTATATATATGTATATATAAACAGTTGGAAAAGGAAGGTTGAAATTAATTTGAAACTAGTAACAAAAAGAAAAAAGAATGGAAAGAAAATTGTAAGAGAAATAAGGAGAAAGTTAATGCATGGCATCATCATTATTATCGTGTAGAGATTTGGCATTTTCACGGAAAATGTTCAATCACCTCCATTTATTTATAAATTATATCAAAAATCAAAATTTTCGATATCATTCAACAATGTTGTGCAATGGTTTCTTTCGGATTATTTCCTAAATAATTTTTTCCATATAATAAATTTTGATTTCAATTCATAAAATTTTCCAGTCTTGTTTTTCCAGGTTAATTATTAAGCATTTCTATACGGAATCTTTTATATATTTGTATTTAAAATATTACAAATAAGTGATTTTTAATTTTTAAACTGAAAATAAATTTGAGCTAGTAGGTACATACATGCTAATTAATTTATCTGCTCGGTTGCTGAGACCAATATATTGACTCCATTTAAGTATAATTTATGTAATGTAAAATTGAGAAATTACGAATTAACATCATATTGCTTAAATTATGTTTTTTTTCAGTAGAAAAATACAAGAACATGCATAGTATGAGAATAGCTCTCTTTAATCACAACCCTAAGGGAGACATAGTCATCAAATAACTTATCCATTCATTTGAATATATAAAAAATAAAAAATAAAAGGACAAAACAAAGATTCAGTTTTTTTATATATCACGTATCTGAAGGAGGTGTGTGTATATATATATATATATATATATATATATATAATGCATGCAGGATCATAACTTATTTGCATGGTCACAAAATTTTTGCAAAAATATGTAATTTAAGTGCCTAAGGTGTATAGTATATATTATATTTTATTTATGTAGGAAGTCATGCTCTCTTCAAGCATTAGAAATTAATACAATAAGATCCCAACATGTCTCATGCATAACATTTTAGAAAGGAACATGTCAACTAACTGATATAAGGATCAAACTATACAATTACTTCAAAATAACACTGAAATTTCTTCAGTTTCTATCACTGAACAAGGCCTCAAAGCGACAAAGCAAGTAGAAATTATAGCACAAAATAGAGAATTAATTCTTAGAACGCAAGTAATTTAATTTAACTGCAGTTCTTCTAATTTATTGTGCATGGGGTTCAAACTCAAATGTATCTAGAGGAAGTCACACAGGAAATCAAGAACTACTCAAACGTCATCTATAAAAGCAAGATTGAGGTTTCCATAAATTATTACTTGCTGTACTTCTACTACTACTACTACTACTAGTACTACAACATCATCATCATCTATGGATGACAGTAAGAAAACAAAGCCCGAAATATCTTTTGCAGATTCTACCTAACTGAGAATTACAGCTGACACATTGAAAGTCCTATATGAGAGATGAAAACAAAATGCAGCTGCCCTCCTCCTTTTGCTTATTCTGAACTCATCAAGCGTTGTAAAATATATATGAACCAGACATCTGACCAACATTGTTTGAAGTGGAAAAATTGGAAGATGAGGCCCAAGATTATGCTCATCATGATGATAAAAATGAAGCTTAAATAATATCTTCCATAATTAAGAGATTCCCACACCAAGAAAGTCTATAAAGGCAACATCCTTGTTCTTAATTTGACCTCCATGATCTCCTTGCCGATCTTGCTGAGAAGCCATCGGGAATTTCCATAATGCAGCAGCTGAGTCATGATTATCGCTTTGGAGTCTCCCTAACTGGCTTTTCATAATCTTTTCTTTATTGCTTCCATAACCATCAGCATAACTTGTGAAAGCAAAAGGATTGTTAGGGACAACTCTCTTAGCATTAGGGATCTGTTGTCCGACAACATTTTGGTAGCCATTACCACCATAAATGGTCGAACCAGGAAGGTAAGTACGGTGCAGAGATTCATTCAAAGCAAGTGGTCCCTCTTTAGGACGTATTGAAGCAGAACTTGAATATTGAGTATAATCCTTTCTTTTTGCATCAAAGACATCAAAACTTAATGAGTCATTTGTGATGGTTGAAGCACTAATGTTAGTCCAAGAAGGTGATGAATTTGATGAGGATATGGGTATGTTACTATCCTTTCTTTCAATAATATTATTCTGAAACCCTAATTTAGAACCATAATCAAGTGACACTTGAGGCCTAGAGAACCCAAAATTGCTACCTGGAGTAGTACTGCTATTTCTGTTGGACTGATGATATTGATGATGATCACTAGGATATTGGACTTGGAAATTACTTCTCTTACCATGGACAGTCAAGCAGCGTTCACGCTTCCTTCTTGCCATAACAACATGGTAATGATTCTTGACAGCGTTGTCGGTTCTACCAGGGAAGAGCCTAGCTATTGAAGCCCATCTGTTTCCTTGAATCAGATGAGCTTTTAGGAGCCTTTCTTCCTCTTCTTCTGTAAAAGGCCTTTTGTTGATATTTGGATCAAGTTGGTTGTACCATCTCAATCTACAACTTTTCCCTACAAATCAAGAAAAAGAAAAAGAAGCACACATGAAAATCCAATTTCTTAGAACTTGAGCAATGATATATGAGAGAAAGAAAAGCGGTGAAGTCTTTAGTTACATCTTACCTGATCTTCCTTGAAGATGCTCGGCGATAAAATTCCAATTCTGAGGACCAAATTGATCGACAAGTTGCCGGAGTTTCTCATCTTCAGCTGGCCTCCAGTGCCCTCTATGACAACTAGTACTCTTCCCACTATCACTGCTCGAGCTACCTCTAAAATCCTCCATCGCATGAAGCTAGCTTAATTAATATAGTTCAAACCAATATTCTACCACAACAACAAATTAAAACTGTAAAATTTATGGCACCAATCGGCACGAACGAGGAAGATCTTGAATAGAAGTCCAAGAAATATAAGGAGATGAATAAGGTGAAAGAGATAGAAGAAGAGGGAATTGGTTTTAGGGTTGCAGATGAGAGGTCACTTTTCTTATATACACAAGATAGGATATGTATAGATACATAACAGTACGTGTACAAGCCCTGATTTTTTTTTACCTTGATATATTACCATTAGCCTAATTAAATTGTTTGCCTTTGTAATTAACTTCCTTGACAGCTCACTCTCCCACAGACACAACAAACATACACTCAAATGTCCATTTTTGGACAACGTAAATGAAATTATTCCATTTGTTGGGCATAAGAATTGATTACATATGTAACAAAGTTAGAAATATTTTGTTGCATGTAGTTTATTAGTGGTTATTTAAGAGGAAAATATTAATTGTTGTAAGAGGGGAGTTGGTGAATAACATGCTGTCAAATTAGTTTGAGATAAGTTTTTCACTTTTATTTAAATGGTAAGTTACTAAGGTCATCTTTGTTTTGTAACCTTATAAGTATATAGATATATGTGTATGGAGATCTTATTGGCTAGCTAGGTTTAATAACTTGATATTCATACCAAGAAAACCTCAACAGACACAGCAAGCTGAATGTGAAATGTTATATATAGGTAATGAGCAGAGATTAGCTTGCAAATGAGCCAAAAATACAAGCCAGCTTTCAACTGAGACATTATTAGTTAATTTGCATGCAAAAAGATAGAACAAGATTTTAAAATGCAAACTTATATATGTTGTCTTTCCATATTAGTGTTTTAAGAATTTTTTTTCCTTTTTTTTTTTTAAGGAATTCTTTATATACTTTCACTTTAAACAAGTGTAAAAATAAAGAGTTTGTTAAAATATTTCATTATTGTATAGCTTTCCAAAGGGTAAAAGTAAAATGTCAAATATTGGTTAAATAACTCAATTTGTCTTTATATAATAGTTGGTGTATTTAATTTGTTCCTATATTTTTAATTATATATATATATATATATATTATATTTTTAAATAATATTTAATTCTCTATTCTTTCATTCCGATCAATTTTCTTTTTACTATGAACAAAATTTTTTTTAAGAAAAAATTCCTCTGATTGAAATGCAGCAAAAAAACAGTCTTAAGACTTTAAGTGGTTTTTATTCTTCTTTTTTTGGTATTTCGGTATAAAAAATTATCTATAATTACAAAAAAAATATGATCGAATAACAGATTGACGACTTAAATATTATTAAAAGATATAAAAAATGTAATTAGAAATGTAAAAACAGATTGGTAACTCGACTATGATATAAAGATATTGCCTTAAACTATTTACCCTCAAATATTTTCACATATCAATATTTCTTTTATTTTATTTTTTGTTAATTTTTTTATTCAAATATATCTTGGAATCGGTTTTCACATATTAATACTAAGTTCACATGTTTGGATCCAATAAAAAAACAGGTTATTCACTTGGAGATTATGAATTAATGAAAAAGTTACGTTTTATAGCTTTAAGTTATCTCAAGGATTCTCTAAAATGGAATGGCTACAAGCCTACGACAAAGGAAAAAAAGGTAATTATATAAAAATCAAAGGAATATACTTGTATGCATTTGTTTTTTTCAAATAACAGAGACGTACGTATATATACAAGAATGTATCATCTTATTTAGAAAAGCTTTTAGCTGAAGATTTAAATAATTAAGGTCGCATATTGGATGCATACTCATGACTCTCTCTCTCTCTCTCTCTCTCTCTCTCTCTCTCTCTCTCTCTCTCTCGCTCTCTCTCTCTCTCTCTCTCTCTCTCTCTATATATATATATATATATATATTAATTCCACCAAAGATTGATTACATAAAAGATAATAATAATAAAAAGTATAGCTATATCAAATAGAACAAAGATTTTATTGAATAGGGTTGCTTTGAATGAAAAAAATTATAATCATTTAAATAAATAATTTTGAATTTAAATTTTTAAATATATAAAAAAAACTTTCTTTGTAGTTGTTTCCATTTTATGAAATTGACATAATATCCAATAATTAATCTGATTCTTTTAGTCTAAATATCCTGAAAGTTTTAGATCCTAAGTTAAAGCACACGTGGGAAAATCAAGTAGAAAAGTTTAAATTTTCCATGGGGCTGCTTAAAGAAGAAAAAAGTACTGCAACAGCACACAGGTACAAGAAGGAAGGCAACGCCGACAATTGTTGACAAAACTACGAATTATAAGTCCTAGAGCTGGAAAAAAGCATGCAGGAGAAGAGTTAATAAGAAGCTTCAATTTGCTACACAACATTGACTTCATCTGTTTAGTATATTTCTTAGTTTCTTCTCTCCAGAAAGAAAATTAGCATAATTACTTTCTCATTTTTTTATTTTGATGAATGACTTTCTCAATTGATCATGCTCTTTTCAATGTTTACTCACTTATTTTTTCACTACAAAGGAGAACCCATTAGAGCTCACTATACCTCCAACCTATCTTAATTCTCATCTCGTTTATATCTTCATGTTTTTAGCTAGGGTTCCCATTCTGATATCATCTCCCCTTGCAAGATAGAAAATGTAAAGTGAACTATAAGTTCAATATTTGTGGCACTTTCTTGACACTTGAAAATTGGATTTTTTTTTATTTTAAAAATATCCATTATGAAAAAAAGTCTTAATTAAATCAGCCAAAAAAAAAAAAAAAGGTAAATAAATAAATAAACAAAAGAAAAACAGTTTGCCATGTGAATAGGATTATATGTAGGAAATAATGATAATGAGGTAAAAGGAGGAGAAGAATGTAAGGTAGCATGTCTTTCATGTTGCTCACATCCATGTAGATGAAAGGTCAAAAGGAGAAAACAAGTCCATGTTAATTTATTAAAATGTTGTTGGTAAAAAAAAAAAAAAAAAAAGGTTGGTGCAAGCAAAAAAGATGGATAAAGTGATTTCTTAACTGACTGGAATTTTATACCCCACGAAATTGAACTCTTCTTCTCTTAACTAAATTCTCTTCCCTTGATTTTATTATCATTACGGTCACCATATTGCCATCAATTTGTCCACATCGCATTACCTAGAATCCTGCTTAAGAATTTATTAACACAAGGGATCGATCAAGAACTAGCTGCCTAGCTAGCCAGGTAGCAGTTTCCTTTTACTTTTCTAGTCTATATATATATATATATATATATATATATTGGTCAATCTTAATTGCCCGATATGGTGGAATTTGGGTGATTCATGAAAACCCTTTTGAACCTAATCTTGAAATTGTAAGTTAACTTTTTGTTTGCTTAATAATTGCTACCATATATGGTTCTTTCAATTTTCTTAGCATTTTGTTTTCATAAATTGATAGAAATACAGTATGAAATTTGGCTTCGTTTTTTACTAATATAATATATTAGATCATCATTGTTACTAGTAATTAACTTGAGAGATAGAAGTCATAACTGCCATCTTAATTAATTAATTAAATTTTCACAATTATAGAAAGTTCATCTGGCTTAGACTTTGTTGTTGGCACAATTCTGGTAAATGAGGGGAAAAGAAATGCACATATATATATAATATAGCCTTGATTAGTGAATTACTAATTTATACCTGATTAATTTTCACATATAACCTTGATAATTTGCTACATTATTATTCTTCATCTGCTCGTTTTCTTCTTACTATAATTAGCAGCCTTTTCGAGGCCCCGTGTTTGGATATATAGGAGTTGTTATTTGAATGAGCTTGAGGTTAGAATTTTCATCCGTGGAACAATTTTTATTTTTCAACTCCATTATGATTGAACAATTTGAATCAGATTGCACTGTGCACCAATAATTTCTGGATTCGAAAAAATGATTCATAGTTGGATACCCCTAAATAAGTTGATAATCAAGTACCTCCGTAAGGTATCTTTGGTTTAAACTTCTCCTTAAAAGCATGGATCGTCCATAAATTTAATTTTGATGTATAAAAACTGACACGAAAATACTATGTGTACGAGTATCTAAACTAAAAAAAACGACATGTAGGGCTAATTATGCTACTTATTGATGTTAAATATGATCTTAAGATATAACCCAAATATGGTATTTTATATATTTCTGGTGCCACCTAAGTTGGAATCAAATCAAAACATGAAAATAAATCTTAACAAGTTTAAGCAAGCACGATATTGATTGGTAACTTGTATACAATTAGCTTCAAAAAATTTGACAAGCAACATAGTATTTGTATAGTCCAGCAAGTAATCATTCATCTACATTATCAATTATATATAAATTAGTGGAAATTTCAAAATGGGCGTATATGTGTGTGTGCATGCATTTATACACGAACTAGGTATATATATATATATATATATATAGTAGATAAAGTAATTGATCTATGTTTGTGAAACAATATCCAAATATACCAATATTGAGATATGAGAAAGCCATAATCCATCACATCTAGCTATAATAAGGCATGTTCCTCTAGCTTGATATTAATTAAAAGCAAAAAATACGCCTTGATTACTTCAGAAGGAAGTCATTTCTCAATGAAATGCTTACTCTAATTAATTAATTAATTAATATTGTTGATTCTTTCTTAGCTTTCCACACGCATTATATCATAGCTATCTTAATTGGTAACGGAACGAATTAAGCAACAGAATGATCTTCAATATTGTTGATTTTTAATTAATTAATTTATTCACTGAATTTGAATCCCTTGCATCTGTTTTGCTTCCTACACAAGTCATCTTATGACACCATATGCAAGAAAGCAGCATGCGCGCATGGAATTTTTGTACACATGCACTGAATTTTTACTTTTAAAATGCTAGCTTTCATGCAACTGTAATTCTCTGTTGGGACAACTAAATATTTGTGTTTTCTTATACTCCTCAAGATTATTTGCTTTCATGAAAAATATTTTAATCGCTTAAATAAATAATTTTGAATTCGAGTCTTTCTTTATACAAAAAACAATTTGAATAATTTTATTCGACTCGTGTATCCAAACGAACAACATAGAATTATAACGAAAAATTAATCTACGTTTTTTAACTTGAGATTACGTGGAGATCCAAAAAATTGATTAACCACTATGGAATCTTTTTTAAATTTAGGGTAACTTTGGATGTTATTAAAAAAAAAAAAAAAAGATAAGCTTAAACAAGTGGGATTGTAACTTTCTCCTTAATTAATGGGACCCGGTATCTCTTAATTAAACAGAAAACCTAGGGAGAGTTGTGCATAATTCAAATTCTCAAATTAAATCTGCCTTCTCTTGATGAAGCAAGACATTGATGCAACAAACAAACCCCATTTGCCTATTAGTTTGTCTTTTTGTCATGAAAACCATAAGGTACCTTAGCCTACCACACCAAAAAATGACCATTCAAGCAACACACCTTTCCCATTTCTCTTACTACTACTCTTCAACATTTCAAGCTAACCCATCTTTTCCCAACCACACTGTTTTTGACATCCACAAGCACTACTAATCCACCACAGAAATCCATTAATTTTGACCTAAATATTGATAACCCATTACTACTGATTGCCCTCCAACAAAATCCCATAATTGCGCTTCTGTGGTCCCTTTCTCAAGCTTTCCATGCAAACTCATCTCTTTCCTAAAATTGCAAAATTCACCTTTTCCACCGTATTTGATACATTTTGTACACGGAAATGCTGGCCTCAATAATATGTATTCTACATACTTGGAAGTTGGCTTTATTAATTCAAAAATATATAATTTTCTCCAAGCGTTGTCAACCAAAGGCCATACCTACTTATGGCCCCATCAAACTAGGGTTTACCTAGAATTTGGAGTCTGTCTCTTTTATTTTTATTTTATTTTTTTTACTTTTTCCTTTGTATTCACACTTTCATAGTTTCATGTTTGGCCTACACAGTGAATTAAGGGTAATTCTCTCTTTATTTTTCCCCCCTCAAATAATCTATCCCTCCCATTTCCATTTCAGAATGTTATGCCATTATTTTCTTTTCTTTTCAATGATTAGAATATTCTAAACCAAATTTCACATATCAAGACTATTTCTCTTTTCAATTGAGTTCTAGATAAGTTATCCACATGCAAAATAAAAAAATAAAAAAATCTCTCTTCAAAGTAATATTCAATGTCAAATCACTTGCCCCAAAATATATATAGCTTTATTGTTAGATTAACAGTCACGTTTGAATTAAGACCTAAAATTCATCATTGTTTTTTTATGTAAATTTTGAATTTACACTTTTAACAAAAGAATCGCAAGGTCCAAATGAAATGGTATTAATTAATCAGTCAACATTTTGGACTTTACGTTCGTAAATTAGGTAGTTTCAACCGAAAGACAGTTATTTGCATAGAACCCTGAGGATAAAGTTAGCATATTTTCAAAGTTAATTCCAAATGCCAGTCTTATAGACCATATGTTCTTCATTAGGAGGTGTCAAGGCATTAATTGATATTGGAAAATTTTTTTTGTAAATGGATCCTTATTTGCAAATCACCAACAAAATGTTGTGATATAATCACGAATTTATTATTAAAAAAAACAAACAAACGAACAAACTTAATCATGATCAGGATGTTGGTAATTATATCTGGATGAACCAACCAACATCCATACAGACCCACCGTAAGAATATTGGGATGAACCTGGCCGGACGGTGATGTTTCATCTTGAAGTTGCTTGAAACTTTCAGTTGTTAACACCACAAAGCACAAAAAATGTTATGATTAGGAAGGAAAAAAAAAAAGCTAGCTTCATGAAAAATGTTAATTTTATGAAGTGGGATCCAACATGAGATCATGATCAAAAACCTACTAGGAAAATTGGTTTGATGTCAATTTCTCTGGGTCTCTAGCTACATACTTACTGCTAGATAAAACCAACCCTATTTAATCCCTGCTATAATACTACGTAAGATAGTGACATAAAAGTACAGTTGGTAGGTTTTTCAAGGGTTGTCTCTTTCAATTTGTTTATTCACATTTGGTAACAAACTTACACCATTGTTTCATTGTACCTCAAGTCATTAAGACGCATACTTTGGCTCTAAATAGAAAATGACAGTAGAGCTGCTCTTGCTATTTCCACAATTAGTTATTCCTGTTGTAAAACTCTTGTTTTCATGTCCAAGAAGTTAAGTTAACAATAATTTGTCATCATTCATTTCGGAATAAAATGTCTTTTCAATCCAATATAGAAAATCTGTCAAAGTTGAAGGACTAAAAATCAATAACATTGCTTTAATTTTCATAGCACAAAATACACTCTTCAATATGAAACTTGACCGGACTGTACAAGACTAGATAAGACTATCCCATGGATGAGCCATAAGAGAGAGCCATGCTATCTCAAGGAGAGCTCTAGAAGCAAGGGAACACAGCTAGGCCTTGGATTGATAAAATTGAAGAATAAGTTGAAGAATCATGCGAATTCATATGTTCATTGCTTATGGTGGGTGTCCTTAATTTGATGTTTAAGAACGTTAGTGACCAATATTGCTGCTCCCTCCCTTAGAGATTTTTGCCAGCATCTGGGTGACAACAAGGATTAGGCGACTAACTCCTCTTCCCCAAACTGATAAGAAGAATACATACCAAATGGGGGACTGAACTTGTGAATCCCAACTTTGAAAGGAGTGCTACTTGGCTAACTCATTTAAGAAAGACAGAGGTAAGTTTAGTGTTTAAAAACATAGAACACCTGTGAAAGTCATTCACCATACCAATGGAAGATTTCACCATTTCCACATTAATTTGTTCCTATAGCTTATATGCCAACTTGGTAATGTGAAGGCCCATTGACGGATGAGTGAACATCCTAAAGACCTTACATGCTCATTATCTTCAAAGGCATCTTGAAATTTACATGTCGAAAGACCTCCCAAGGTATTTTGCTTTCCTAATCATGCTAGGGCCGATATGGATTGAGTGTTCTACGACAGAACAATGGTCATGGGACTGCATTTTAAAAGGTGGTAAATCCTGACTCAATTCTTAGTCGAGCAACTAGCTTAAACATTGAAGTAATTACCACCTATATTCTCAATACCTCTGTTTCGTTGAACTATAAATTAAACAGCAAACAAATCAGGCATTTCTGTAGTACTCAACAACCACAAACCAGATAACTAATGATAACTGAAGTTATTATCTTTGTAATTACTGCCATCACAGTTTAAAAGTTAGGAACTTCTAAATTGTAGACGTAAATAGTCCAAATAGCGCTTATTGAAAAGGGAAGTCGAAACTAAACATATATCTTTTCTAACAAGTAAATATAGGATAGTAGCCTCACCATAAATTTTCCTTCATTTACTATGGGGAATAAATACTTTGACATAGACTGTATATTTGAAATTGATATAGCAATTTAAGTTGCTCCAGCAACAGAATTTACCAGAATGTGTTCAAAACCAGACAACAATGCTGGTATAGGAAAGAAAAAGAAAGTGCCACAACGATTAAAGATTAAAAGCACATATGACTAAATCCAACCTGTCAAGCCTAATTTATCAGCAACATTGTACATTACTAGTTTATCCCAGACAGGGCCAAAGAGTTGCTCCCCTCCAATGGAAAATGTTAAGGCCCATGAAAGAAGAAGAGTTGTGAATACCGTGAACCCAACTGCTGATCTAACAACATCTGCAAAGTGCAAAAGAAAGTCTTCACTAAAGCCATTAATATGAAAGTAAGATTACATAATAGCAGAACGAGTTATTAAAACCACAAAACAACTATTTGACATTCAAAAAGCAAGTATCCTATAATAAATATCATGAAAACAGATACCCAGAAGCACATGATCTATATTCAACCAAGTACAGAACCAGATACATAAAAAACCACTTATTCTACTCAAATCTACATTTAATTGTTCAATGTTTATCCTATAATCGATTTGTTTCTGTGGAAAAAAAAAAAAAAAAAAAAAAACCATAAACCATAGACTGCTCAAATATATGTCAAATAAATGAAAACAGCTAGATTGAACTGACATAATCAACAGCCAAAGCCAACCTCCATATAAAGAAGAAGTTTACTTCATGCTTCCCTAGCGAGTTCATAAGAGCATAAACTACATTATGGGTCATTGCAACTTCACAGATGAGTTTGATGGCATCCTTTATGCCTAACATTTTCGTCAATGCAAGAGGTTCCTAACCTCAACCAGCCCAAATAAGATAACACAATCCCCTTTTCTCAATAAAAAACTGACAAAGAGAAACAATATAAGGAGAAAATGATTCAGCCAGTAAGGAACACTCTGCTTGCCCTAGACTTTTCCAGCCAGAAAATACCACCTCACCCAGATACCTCTCCAAAACACACTACCGATAATACAGGCAACCTTTCAAGTCAGCCAGCTTTTCCTAGAAAGACAGCAAGTATTCATCAAATTAACCAAAAAAATCAAAGCCTACAAAGAAGCAGAGCGACACAACCAATTTGATCTCGGCACACCTGTCTAGTTCACATTAAGGGGTGGAAAAAAAGCCATCCTGTTCAAGTAGTCTAAGTTACAAAAAAAGTTCCAGCAGCAATTATATATCCGGGCTACCAATTTTAAGGCCTTCACTCATGAAAGCTTGCAAAAAATTTAAACAGATACTAAAGAACAACACTAAATTCAAGACAATTACATTTCGCAAAACATCCACGAATCAACATTCTACTAAATCAGCTCAAATTTAACAACTTTCGGCCAACTGCTTCAATATCAATACGATTTCCCTTAAAACCAGCAATCTCTCCATCTTCCAAACTTTCCCCAAACAATTCTTCAAAAAAAAAAAAAAAAAAAAAAAACTTCTAGCTTGACCAAATATTTTCTTAAGCTAAATTCAACAAGAGAAATGCTAGCTAATCTGTCTGTCCGAGTGAGCACTCAACAAAAAGATGAGATCATCTCACACGTGAGTGGCTAAAACTATCCAAATCATTTCCAATCAAACAAAAAAAAGTTAACCACGTTGCGAAATTTGGAATTTTTACTTACAAGGACGAATGCGAGGGAAAGAGCGAGGATTGAAGAGAACAGGCCAGAAGTAGAAGCAAGTGACAGCCCAAAGCCAAGGCAAGAGTGCGAATCCGAATTTGTAAAATCTGCGTGCGTAGGTTAACGATTCGTCTTCTGTTAGACCTAGTGGCCCATCGATTGTTGGCCACACTGGTGTTGATGATAGTATTGAGTTGGTGTTGTTAGCGGTAGGGTTTGGATTAGCGGTGGGGGTGGATTGTGAGGCTTCCATTGAAATGGAGAAGCAGAAGTGATGATCGTGAAGAATTTAAACGACAATGCGGTTTATGGCTATCTCCGTCATTGATAGTCAAGATTTATACGTTGTCGTTTTCATAACTAATTGAAACTTTATATTATAATTTATTTTTTTCTTTTCTTTTTCTTTTCAAAATTTTTAGTTTAACAGTGCATCAAAATTTACCATTGGTTTTTGGATTTAAAGTTAAATAATAATAACGGGATAAGCAAACAAATGCAGCAATATGTTTAATGTGATATAATAAACTCTGTTAGGATTGTATTGCCATGTATGTGATATTGATTTTATATAGTTCACAATAATTAGAAGAGATGTATGCGAATTATTGAATCTAGATAATGTGTATTATCCTTCAAAATTGTGATTTAATGCATGAGAACAATCAAAAGAAAGGTAGAAATCCAGACGATTTGCTTGTTTGTCATGTTGACTTTGATCAAATAAGGGAAAGTGATCCGCACTCTGCATTCTGGTCTTTGTGAACTTCTCTTAGGCTGATTTTACAGGTTTGATGCTTGTTAATATATATATATATATATGAGGAGGTAGCTTGCAAGAATTCACATGAGATCAGTGGGGTTTCAGCTTCTTCGTAACATGGATCATGAAAAGTGATTTTCTGTATATTATTTCATGTCAACTTTATTGATGCCATGGAAATGCAAGTTTTTCATATGTAATGATCATGATTTTCCGTCAACATTACTATTATTGCCAAATTTCTTTTGCCATTAGGCGTGTAGAGTATGAACCTGATCTTGACCATTGGTATCCATTTAATCAAGGTACATTTTTCACTTTATTTATTTATTTATTATAAAAATCTATATTAGATTAAAAATAGAATAATCATTTGACATCCGATAAAATTATAGAGTCATTACTAATAGCTGAAAACCTAAATAATATAGAAAAAATATATATATTCTATAGCCAAACTATAGATTCATCATTCTATAAAAGCTACTTTTGGCTAAAAAAAAAAAAAAAAAAACCACTGCATTCTCTTTTAGAAGAATGTCCATGGTAAAAAAAAGTAACATGCAAATACGTTATTAGATAATCAATATACTTATACTCTAAAAGCGTTAAAGTTAAGTTATAATATCTTTATTGATCCAAACAATAACATTATTTGAATTTGATTCAATGATTCAATTCATTTGATGAGCGTGGATAGAATCAACACCGATCTCCAAAACCTTATTAATAGTTAGAATCTCAATCTGATTCAATTCTTTGATCCATGTTAGAATATAAATAAAATTTTTTACTAGATTTGTCGAGAGACAAATCATTTATAAGGCATTTCAAAAAGTTTAAACTAGATTGTGACTATAGAATTGATAGCCAGTATCTAGACTGATTAGTCACCATCTTAACGCAATTAATCTAAACATCTCTTAAGATCATTACATGTACAGATAAAATGATTGTTTACAAATTTCACCTGATAAGTTATCTTGTGAAAAATGGCGAAAAAATATGATTTCAATAAGACATTTTATAATTAAAAACCCTATCATTCCTTGCCAGCCAGACTGACCAGAGAACTGCATAAACATTTTTCAGTTTAGTCGAAGGGAGAAGGGGGACAAATATTGTGGATGATCTAAAGTTAGTAGCAAACCAGTATAATTTTAATGCTTGTAATTCATCACAATTTCTAGTTGAATTCCTTTACTTTTATTTTTTCTATAATTTTTTAAGCATTGATTAACCATGTACAATAGTCTTTAAAACACCCTTTTCCGTAATATTATCACCCCATTAATTAAAACAGAATTAAAAAAAAAAAAAATCTCATTTATCATTCTTAAAAAGTACAAGAACTAAAGTAACTGGGATTCAATCAGAAATTTTGACGAAGGTCAGGATCTGAAATTGTAAAATTTTGTGTCTAATGTTCAAAACAGCAGCCGTTTGTTTTGGCATTCTTACAATCACTAAAGAGGGAAACTAATGAAAGGGAGCAGAACATGACTTCTTTCTATGGTCATTGAGTAACTTGTACACACTTTTTTCACAAATTGAATAATTCTATAATCACGAACCATTAACAATCCTTAAAATCAACTAAGTTTACTTAGGGGTTGGAGTGTGAAAATGTTTTTAATGTCCAGAAAATTTACAAGCATGTTTGAAACCAATCCTCTATTTAAATTAAATATTAGAAGACGAAAACTGCAGGCAGGCATAGCAGCAAAAAACTTCAGCAGAAAACTATCACCAGATTGTGAGATAGCAATAGCTAGAGTTTAGATTGATCAATTCTAAAACCCATTTGAGGAGATGCAATCAGAGACGATAATTGAGAACTAAAATTTTTTTGAGAGCTCATTTCAGAAGCCTTCATGACAATCCGCCAGCACAAAACCAGAGGAACGTAAAAAATAACATAAGCCTTCAGGAAGATAGCTCCTAATGCCATAAATTGGTTTGCATTTTCCGTATTGAAAAATAGACACCATTGGTTAGAAGACTCGGCAAGTGAAACTTGGAGCACACTAAGAAAAAATTTCTACACAGAAGCAACCAAGGCGTTGAGTGATAACCCCATGGAAACAAAAAGATACTTCCAATGAAATCTAGGCAAGAACCCTATTCAACAAAAAAGCAAATTTAAATGAATACTCATCCTAGAAAATAATTAAACCACCCGAATTGCCGTAGGCATCAATAGCTATCCGTTTGAAGTTGTTTGTTGGCCAGAAAATATGAAAATACAACACACCAATAAAAACCATGTTTTGACTCAGATAGACTCGCATGTGGGATTAAGTTGTTAATCCCACCAGAGATTGATTTTTTATTTATTTGAGCCACCAAGACACCAAGCCTTCTACCATTCCAAGAAAAAATGCAAGCCATGAAAGTAGAAAATATGTATCTCCTCAAGAGACAAATTCAATACTTCGTAGAATTCTTTCACTCCGTAGCTTCTCGAGCAATCAAGTCCTTGAATGCTGTTAAGGATGAACTGAGATTTACTTTAGGTAATAAATTCATACACTTGGAAAATCCCAAGATTCCTCAGACTTGGTTACGAGTTTATTGAGAAAATCATCGCCAATTTCAGATTCAGTTAACTCGGTTGCAATTCTTCTAAGAACTCGCCTCTTGCTGGCAGCAATAGCACCATCAGAAAGAGATTGATTATTACTGCAGGTTGGGGCTTGTGCCTTTAAACTTATAGGCGGGCAAAATGGCTTTGGATTACTACTATGCTTCCTCTTTGTTTTACCCTTTCCGTCAAGAACTTTGGAATGAGGGTTGGGAAGATTAGAAGCATTTAACAACTGTGGAATTGGGGAGATGTTAAGCTCATTTACTGGACTAGTTCATTGTCGGTGTTATGCTGCAGGATGGAACGAAGAGGTAAAATCATTCCAAAAACTTATTCCAGCTTGATGGCTATATAGTATATATGAGTTCACTAAAATATATAGAAACGAAGAAAATTACCTGGACTCTTGTACTATCCAGTTATGGTTATTTTAAATTCTCTATTCAGATACGGGTTACTATACAAATCAAATCATATTATATATCGTCTGATCAATCATGTTATGATATATGATTAATAAGATTAAATAAAATTATTAATTTGTTCCAACTTTAAATGATACAAAATTTAGTTTGCACCGTAACTATATGGATCAATTAAAATAGTTAAAATTGGATAGTATAATAGCATAAAGTAATATTCACTTTACATGGAAACAAAAGTAAAGCTATTTTATCTCCAAATTTTTTTTATTTTTAGTCTCACATTTTTTAATAAAAATGGAACTATATTTAATTTTTATTCTCATTATTCTCATACTTTATTCATATTTTCACTTAATTTCTTGTAATCAAATATCTACAAAATAAGAATAAAAATTTTATTTTAATTCTTACTATTTCATTCTTTTTTTTCAAACAACGTTTAAATGTTTCAAGTTTTATCCTTAATTGTTAACGAGCAAAATGGACCTTGGTCAGGTTTAGTTGAGCAATTTCAACGCCATGATCTATTGCTGGCGAGGCTTTTTGCCTACAACTTTCTAAATGTGGGCTAAAACGAATAATTTAGGCCCAACGATACTTTCTTCATTAACTGCTGTCTTCATCATATACTGCATTTAAAATAGATGAAGCAATCTGAGATGTTTTCTGGTAATCCTCACCAATTTTCTGAAAGCTCATAACAGTAAGAATAAAAATCAGTAAAAATAAAAAGACAAGGAAGCCATCGCCTATTTATAGGCAAAAGAGTGAAATTTTTATATACAGTACTCAAAAGCTCAAGTCTAGTAGACAAGCTCGATCTAATATGGACCAATCATATATTGCCATTAGTTCCACAAATATGTTGAAACAAACACCATTGGATAAACAAAGGAGACTTCAAAGGGCCCAGCATCTTTGATTTTTTCAAAGGCTCTCATGCACAAGTATTTGGTTTTTCTATGGGTCTATACATTTATTAAAGTTACAATAATTAAATGAGCTTTCAGTATATCTACTTAGGTAAGGTTTGAAGAAAATAAGTAAGAAACTATTGATTGTTTTGAGGATCACCAGTTATCTCTTTAGCAAACTCGAATGCAATTTGAGTCTTTGCCAAAGTACACTTGCTAAAGACTTAAAAAGGTTGCTGATATACACATATAATCATGATTATGACATATATTCTTTTGCTTTATTATAAAAACCATCCAACTAAAGCATAACCATGAATAAGACAACCTCACTAGTCATCAAAGGTATCACAATTGGACAAAATTTAGATAATCAATACACATGAATGACCTTAACAAAGACGACACCACTTCTTGTATTTGTTAGACAAAAAAAACATATATTTAATGAAAGCGTGGTTTTAGAGATATTTCTATCACATCATCACTAAATATAAAAATTCTAAACTTTCAAGTGAATGTTAGAAGCTATTAAACACAAAGGAAGAGACTAATCTATCCTTT